TTCTTCAATGATGTTTAGATAATTTGACAAGTGAAAATGTAAGTGCTAATATTGAATATCAGTTACAAAAAGAGAAAGATGTCGATGTTACATATTCTTCATTAATGGACCTGGGTAAGGATGAAATGAACAATAAACTAAAGAAAACTAGAACACAGATTCTAAATAGAACTTTCTTTATAAATCAAGAAGTGAGCCTTAATGATCAAATTAAAAACAGTGTATGTAAGAATGAAAGGGAAAAGCTCTCATTTAAAGGGAAAACCGCCATAAGATATGTACCGTCGTCAATTCATTGAGAGAATAATAATGTTTGATAAACAGTTAGCAAAGGGAAAGTATCAAATACTTTCAAAACCATCATGCCTTGAAGAAAATGGTTCCTCCAAAGATTTCGATAGAAAAATATGTCTTTTGGGTGCGTCATCAGACAGAAAGAAATTGATTACTATGGAAATGAATGCTGAAAATGGTGGAACTATGACAGACCCCAAGTTCTATCGCATAAGCTGTTAAATCAGGATTCAGGAAATGTATTCGATATTGAATTCTACACAAAGTTACAACACCAACAAGCTAGTTTATTTGGGTTTTAGATTTCACAGATCTGAATAAACGAGTTTTATGTGCTGAAGTTGAGGACTGATATTGCATATGAAAAAAGGTCTGCATGTCTTGATGATATCCCAACAGAATGTCAACAGTACTGTTTTGATAACTCGGTGTCGCCATCTTCTTGTAGCCAATGTCTGATCACACCCGCACCCGTACCTGATAATGATGTACGGGACTCACTTTGGTACAGAGATCTTACATTTCTATACCATGCAAAGTCCAAACTAATTAAAATCAGATCTTAGTTCTCGCTATCGCTTAACAAATATCCGAGGACATCCTAATACGGGTCACGTCAGAACGGCCTTTTATCCGACCAATCAAAGCGTCGCATACCAGATCATGAAAGTGACAGTTGGAATGTGTTTTCTAATCATGCAACTTCGAAAACGTTAACACGGGGTATTCCGAACGACAGTTACGGCCCTTACGACTGATTCCGTCAAAAGCCCCGTCTATCGCTCGCTGGGAAAACATTTGAATGGAAGAGCCGTTGCAGAGAATGTAGGATACACTACCTTACAATCTCAACCATATATTAGACATTCCGGAATGTTCGGTTGTTCAGTTTACGAAATTTTAATCGAGAAATAAGTCAACATTTTCAAGCGTAGTCTGAAATGGAAGTCGCCTGTTTGAAACGAGTGCCGTAAAGCTCGAGAAAGCTGCTTTCTGATTGTCATTTCAGTAGTCGGTCTAATTTCGCGAAAGGTCGTTCTGACGTGACCCGTAATGGGATGTCCTCAGATCTTTGTTTAGCAGCAGCAAGAACTGACATCTGATTTTAATGAGGGGCGGTCGGGTAGCCTAGTGGTTAAAGCGTTCGCTCGTCACGCCGAAGACCCGGTTTCGAATCCCGACATGGGTATAATGTGTGAAGCCCATTTCTGATGTCCCCCGCCGTGATATTGCTGGAATATTGCTAAAAGCGGCGTAAAACCAAACTCACTCACTCACTCACTGATTTTAATGAGATTGTACAAAGTCTACAGCGCTTTTTTAAAATCGAAGATTACAAGGCTGGTTGGAACCAAACGATATCTTGGTGTAGGAACAGGATGGTTTAGACCTTGAAAAAAATATACTTAATAACTGTATGCTTTGCGTAATGTTATACAAAACTGGAAAATCAATAAACTTTATACATGTGTGTTTCGTGGACATACAGGAAGCTTTTTACACTGATATTGGAAACTGTCTATGGTTATCTACCTTATATAAATTGGTATTCGTGGAATAATTCTGGATGCTATCTTTGTGCAGATGTACAGTGCATTGAGAATGTTCATGGCTTCTATACAGATCAGTTTCCAGTATCACTTGGGGTGAAGCTATTTCGCCAGCCTTATTCTGGCTACATCAATGATTTACAGATGTGTCAAAACATTGAACGGTTAACTGAGCTGGATACACAGGCTGTTACAGATAATTAGGGATCTGGTTGAATGAGCATCAGTAAAAGAATAATTGTGTAAGGTAGCAAGCAGAGCACTGTCTTTCTATCAAACACGAATCTGACGACATTCCATTATCATGATAGAGTGCGTGGAACCAACCAAACTCTGCTTTGCCTATATAAGAAAGACTCTAGCAACGCTCACGATTTCGAAACGCTCGAATGCAGTCAGAAAAAACTATGCCTGCGTGAATAAACCCGACCACACATCTTTCCGTATGTAACTCGTGAAATGCTAAATGCATATTTGATATACGATGTTCCAAAAACGTTTTGAAATGAATGTTATTAATTTAATGTTATGTACTAACTGTTAATACTCGTCAAGGCTGTAATTACGTGTATTGTGTTTTGTTTTATCCAAAAATAGGGGACGTTTCCGATAGAAAAGGTATACAACGAACAACGTATATAACGAACTGATTTCTCCTGTCAACGTAGTTCATTATATATCCATGTTCTATTGTACATGTCAACTAAACTGTAAACTTTAAAGATCTTTTTAAAGTGTAGGGCCCGTCATGCTGCTATGTCATTTGCAATAAAAGTGAAACACAACATTTTTTACAATAAAGACCCGGATTGCGTAAGAAATGTTACAAAACAGTGACGAACCTCCATCGTAAGTCTTGGGAGTGAGTGAGTGAGTATGGTTTTTACGCCGCTTTTGGCAATATTCCAGCAGTATCACGGTGGGGGACACAAGAAATGGGTTTCACACATTGCACCCATGTCGGGAATCGAACCTGTGTCTTCGTGTTACGAGCGAACGCTTTACCCACGAGGCTACCTGACCGCCCCGTAAGTCTTGGAGCCAGACGATTTGTCAGGTGTTTTCATGCAACAGCATCGTCAAGTGCGACATCAATGGTGTCAAGAACCCAGAGTATGGCCTCACCAGTGATACAGAACTGTTGCAGCCAAAGGCTCACATGTGGTGTCCCTCAAGGGTCTGTGCTGGGACCGATCTTGTTCATCTTGTACACAAGACCACTAAAACATTTGATAACAGAAGATCACGAGGCTCATCACTTTTATGCAGATGGAAAGCTGTCTAAACAATGTCAAATCCTGGATGACTTCCAACATGCTTAAGCTATATGATGATACAACAGAGGCAATCCTTATCGCTCCGCCCTCAAGACAACATAAATCTCAGCAAACCCACCTAACAATTGGACAATCCTTGATTCCTTTTTCTTCACTTGGAGTTTTTATTGACTAATCCCTAACTATGAAAACCACACGGATTATGAAAACCACACGTAAATTTTTACTGTAAGACGTGTCATTTTCATTTGAGAAATATTGGATCAATCGTCTCACTATTGATGCTACCGCCCTGGCAAGATCACTCATCCTGTCAAATGACCAACTTCTCCTGTCTGTACCAAAATATAGACTAAAGTCCTTTGGTGCTCGACATATTTTCTTATAGTCTGTCTTGTCTACAGGCAATCAAAAACCGGAAAGTGGATCATCCATTTTTAGCTGAAATTTTAACGTGTCATCTCAATTTATCCGTAGCTGGAAAAGATATATTTTTTTGTTTACTGCCCCGTCATGTTGGCATCAGTGGCAACTGTAAAGCAGATTCTTCGGCAAAAGCCACTCTTAATAAAATAAACCAACTTCAAACACAAACTTCCCATATTCTGATCTAAAACCTTCCATAAGACAATATGTGAATGATCATTGGCAAAAAAGTTGGAATACCAAGGCTCTGAACAGGCTTCATGCTATCAAACCACGCACATTCTGCTTTATATCGTCATGATGGAGTTGTTTTACAGCGGCGCAGCATTGGCCACAGTTATTATACACATTCATTGTTATTGAAGGGTGAAGATCCATCTTTTTGTATACCTTGCCATAGCCCTCTTACTATGAAGCACATTTTGCTGGAATGTGTTGATTTTGTACTTGTCAGACAACGTTTTTATGATAATGTTCAGACCTTATCTGAACTTTTTACCGCAGTTTCTAATCACTTGATTTTAGCGTATTTAAAGGAAATCAAACTCTATGATAAAATAGAGATCTTTGCCTGAACAGTCAGTCTTTTACCTTTGAATGTGATACATGACTGAGATTTTAGTGATTTTCAACATCACTTTTATTGTATTGGTTGATCTATGATTGCACAAAAGACATTTCTTGCCACGAATAGCCGCGTTAAGCAATATTCACTCACTCAATCACTTTGCTGCTCGATCTTTCTCTCATGCTGGTGCCTCTCTATGGAACTCCCTTCCCTCCAGCCTCAAAAGTGCACCTAATATCACTATGTTTAAGTCTGGACTCAAAACATACTTATTTGTATGCTACAACTGAATGTGTATATTATTGCTATCTTACTGCCCCCCTCTCTGTTGTATATATGTACATATGCTGAATTCGCGCATTGAGCTTGTCCCTCAGTGATGTGGATTTTGTGCTATATAATAGCCTTTTTCTTCTTCTTCTTCTTCTTATTGTTAGTATTACATCACAAATGAAAACTGCATTACTACGGTACCATTATGAACGGCCCTCTTGTGGCGTCTAAAATTGGATCACCGGGTACGACTGCGTCGTTCTGAACGCACACCAAAACCAAAAGTTTGCAAATGCATAACAGACTTAGCCTGTGATCAGGACTCTAGGTTTAGTGCATGAACAGGCGATGCCAGGCGGTGATCGACGGAAATGGTGGACACAGGATGTATTGAGTTCACATGACATTGACCTTTGTCATTTTCGTGTATTCATCATACGTCATAACTCATCAAGTGTGCATTAAAGGTTTGTTACTTCAACCATTGAGACATATTTTAGCTTTTTTAGCTGTATCAGCTCAACATACTTGACATGGAGGGATAACTTCTATCAACAAACCCACGGCCTCCCAGTGGGATCCCAACTATCACCATTGATCACCGAGATATTTATGACCCACCTTGAAGAAAAAGCCCTGGAAACATCGCCAATAACTCCCCTCTGCTGGTTCCGCAAAGTAGATGACACCTTTGTCATCCTTCATCCCAACAATGACCCCAGAACCCTATTGGGCCACCTGGATTACCGAAAAACCCAAATGCAGTTCACCTTGGAGGAAGAAACCAATCAGCAGATCTCCTTCCTTGATGTACTTGTACAGAAAGATAATAATGACAAACTCCAGACCACTGTTTATCGGAAACCTACCCACCTACATGTACCCACACAGATCAATACATTCACTATGCCTCCAACTATCCACCTCAAGTCAAGAAAGGAATTATCTCAACCCTTGCGAGACGAGCTCACAACATCTGTTCTACGAAACAACATCTAACATAATTCGTTCATTGCATACAGTCTAAATATTTATTTGTATATATGCATGTGTATGTGTATGAATGTGTATAGATATGGATATATATGTAAAATAGTGGTAGTTCTTTTTTCTCCCTCTCTCTGTAAAAAGTTCTGTGTAATAGGCCTATGGTCTAACACTTTTTGTGAATAAACAATATAAGATCAATGCATTCACTATGCCTCCAACTATCCACCTCAAGTCAAGATTATCTCAACCCTTGCGAGACGAGCTCACAACATCTGTTCTACGAAGCAACATCAGTTAGTTAGCACTGCTATATCTGATAGACACCTCCTACACACCATTAGTGAGTTTGCAACCCATTCCCCACGTTATACATGTAGATCCAAGGATAACACCTTAAAGAGTATGATTGACTATATCCTGGTACCCTCGTGGATAAAAGACCATGTTACCGATCTCCATGTTATAGATACATGCCCTTATACGGTGTCAGATCATCTCCCATGTTTATTATCTATGTCATTGAGAGCCTTTGGTCGAAATAATCTCATTATGAACCCCCCTGTTTAAAAATGGAACAAAGCAAGTCAAGATGATATACCCATGTACCAATGTGAATTTGGTACATATCTTAACTCCTTTCACGACTGTAATCTGTCTTGTCAGCCTGAAAATGTTGACACATATAGCGACCATATAAATACTTGCAAGTTCCAATTGTATCCCTAAAAGTGAATATAAACCTTATCTTAAACCATTCTGGAAACCTGATGGACTAAATGATGCACATTACCGTATGTGGGTTGCTCGACGTGCATGGCTAAATAACGGTAAACCCAGGGACGAAAACTCAGATTCGCGCATCTCTTATAAAACTGAAAAGAGACACTTCAGGCGCCTCTTTCGAAAATCGAAAAGGTCCAACAAAAAGAATACCCTAAGGGAGATTGAGAGGTCAGCTGAACTTGATATAAACTCTTTTTATAAAACTGTTAGAAAACAACGAGGGCGGGTGGCCGAGATACCTATACTTATAACTATAAGGACGAATGTGGTTCTACACCCTCAGCTATTTGCAGATTAAGGGGTAAATACTTTTCAGATTTAGCCAAACCCTACCATTCCGAAGGATTTGATGATGTATTTTAAGAAGATATAACTAGTAAGGTACAGATAATTAAACAAGTACAAGAGAGGCCTGACGAGGAATTGGAAAAAGAATTTACATGTCAAGAGATAAGAGAGGCCGTCAAATCCCTCACCAGGAATAAATCCCAAGGTCCGGATAAGATTATAATAGAACATATTATCTATGCAGGAGAACATCTTATTTATTCCTTACGTATAGTTTTTAATCATATGATGAAACTACAATATGTACCATATGATTATAGAATTGGTATGGTCATACCAATATACACATGTATAAGGGGAAGAATGAAAAATCTGACCCTCGAAATTATAGAGGTATTACTCTCACATCATGTCTCTGTAAACTCTTTGAAAAAATACTGCTCAAACGTATAGAAGACAAACTATGTAGGCTTAACCCAGACTTTCCTGATATGCTACAGTTTGGTTTTAGAAAAGAACATGGAGCTATTATGTCAGTATTTACTTTGATCGAAGGCATTCAGTATTACATACAAAGGGACTCTGCAGTCTGTGCAGCTTTCTTAGATAATGAAAAAGCATTTGATAGGATATGGCACGATGGATTATTTTACAAACTACAAAAACTGGGCATTAGAGGTAATACATGGAAATTACTACATCATTGTTATACAAATAGTTATGCTTATATTTCCTACCAAGGTGAACAATCAGACAGATATATGGTTCAACAAGGTGTTTGCCAAGGCAGAGTTATCTCTGCTTGGTTTTTTCTTGTTTTTATAAATGACCTCATTACAGCCCTTAGACAAGCACAATGTGGCTTTCGTGCATATGGTATGGATATTCCTGCAGTCTTGCTTGCCGACGATACTACACTTATTAGCGCATCACCGAGAGGCTTACAAACATCCCTTGATATTGTACATACATATGCCTCAAGGTGGCGCCTAACATATAATCCATCAAAAAGTGCAATGATTGTGTTCACCAAAGCAAAACGCAAGGGGTATAACTGTCATTGTAAACTTGGTAATATACACATCACTACAACTGGCTCTACGGTGTATGGTGGAATACTTCTAACATACAATCTGTCCTGTAAAGCAAGAATTGAAAAGTACTGTCAGAATGCAAGACAAAATATTAACTCCCTAAGATCTTTAGGATGAAATAGTTATGATCTTCATCCAATTTCAAGCGTGAAAATATGGCTCAGAATGATACTCAAAACCAGCCTTTATGGATGTGAATTACTCTATGACATTAAGGGTCAACATGCCGCTCTGTTGGAAGGCACGCTAAGATATTTTGCACGCATTGTACAGGGTCTTGATAAAAGATATCCTTCAGAATCTACTATTTCGAACCTTGGACTTTGGACAATTACTGCATATATTGATAAATGCAAACTTTTGTTTCTTGGTCGTTTATGCAATCTGAACTGTAATAACTTTGCAAAAGATATTTTCTGCGCGTCCATTGCAAGCCCTGTCAATTCAAAGACAATTTGTGGAGAACTTAAATCAACACTTGATAAATACAATCTGGGTCCCTACCTTCGTACATATACTCAGTACGGTACTTTCCCTCCAAAATTGAAATGGAGTAATCGTGTTAACAAAACTATATGCAAATACGAAGAACAATCATGGCTCACAAATATATCAAATAACGCAAGCATGTCCCGTTATAAGAGAATTCATACCAAATTAACATACCATGTACTTTGGCAATTAGCTTTTCTGTACCCGGAATATCGACCTGCTTTACAACTCTGCGTGAAAGTCTCATCACGCAGTAAACTTTCGAAAGAGTGCATGCTCTGTAATAGGCATGCTTTCGACTATGACAGCCACATTATTTTACATTGTGAAGCGCTGATATCAGAAAGAAATGCGTTTTTCTCTTCTCTTATTGACGTACTTGACGTTCAAAAATATGTTGATTTTGAAATGCAAGACGAAACAGATATGTTTATCAGTCTTATTTGGGGCTGAAACAAAATTTACTCACAATCTCGATCAACACACCTGGGAAACTACTATACTTCAATTCGCCTCGTATCTGTACAAACTAAGGCATCTTTTGATATATATCTTCTAGTGAAAATCTTTCATTATTTAGGTATCTGAATTTGATAAACTGTGTGTAATTGTGAATATGTTATGCCTTTTTATTGTGTTAACTGCGTGTAGTTGAATATATTGTCATTGTAATCTTCGGAATGACATCTGGAGGAAATAAAGAATCTCTCTCTCTCTCTCTCTCTATGCCTCCAACTATCCACCTCAAGTCAAGAAAGGAATTATCTCAACCCTTGCGAGACGAGCTCACAACATCTGTTCTACGAAGCAACATCTAACCACTTAAATAAGCCACCTCAAACAAGTATTAACACAGTATCGCCCTCTCTCATAACATGAGTTATCTCCCTTTCCATTTACTCCGTCGCGAAAGTCAGCCAATTTCCGGGACGTACTTGACAACAATGTCGTCTGTTTATGCGTTACTTGGCGACCGAGAGATAGAGGTCATGAAAGTTACCGAGCTGAAGGCGTATCTCCGCAATCATGGCCAATTTGTCACTGGTAAGAAGTCTGAGCTTGTTGAGAGGGCGAAAGGGGTCAGCAAACTTTGTTATCCAACAATTTCAAGTGCAACGAAGCAGGCAAGTCTCCCGTCTCGACGACTTCATGAAAAATTGATAACACCCCTCGGCGAGAGTATTCCTGATCCGAAGAATCTCGCACTTTCGGTACGGGACACTAGTGCTATTCCTGAATTCACAGAGACTGAAGTATATAAATTTTTGTTCTCACCATGAACGTGAAGCCCACAACATAAGTCGTTTGTATATTTTGAAGACAGACACGTTCACTCACTTGAGTTTAGCCATGTCTCAGATGTATGCAGCCATGCTATTGTTCGATGCAATGTTATACCATCACTGCCTACAAGCAACAGGAAGGAATGCCCAGACCACACCACATGGATTAGTTTGTCAAATGTGGCAGGCAAGATTCACCCTGCAGACTGCACTTGTGCAGCTGGGTAAGTGGGCCTATTTTGCATTTTTCATATATATATTTCTGCTCCCCCGTATTCAATGGTAAAGAGATTACTTTGCTCACACTCCGCCTATTACTTTCAAGGCAAACAATTATTGCAGTGCCCATGGCAAAATATTTGCAAATAAAAATAATGCATATTTATAATAAGCATGAGCAATATTTTAGTACCATATGGCATGAAGACAAAACTTCTAATAATAAGCATATATACATAATTTTGCGATTTTTTCTTTTAATCTTTTAACCTTCAGGGCCGGTGAAGCTTGTAATGATATTGCTGCATTGTGCCACTGTTTAGCTGACGTAACAACAAGGAGGAAAGCAGGAACTACATCATGCACATCCCAACCATGCCAGTTGAACAACCGTACAAGAGGAAACTTAGTCCGAAGAGACCCGAAGATGTTAACTTTAGAAAGTCATCCCGTGATGTACATAGAGAGAAAATAAAGATGGAAATTAGTTCCAATTCAGATAAGAGTTGTAATGAAAAAACATCTGACATTAAACCCATTATCAACTGTCAGAGATATAAACAGAAACTTGAAAGTAAGAACTCAAATGCTGCCTGGTTAAAGATTTATACAGACACTTCTACACCATCAAACATGAAACCCTCTTTACCTCCCCTTCGTAACATTTCCTTTTCACATTGTGATCATGTATCTCTTCATTCGACTAATTGTCAGGATGAAATGCAGGCATCATTAGATTGTATGCATGGATGGTTTGATGGTTTGTTGTTTTATGACGCACTCATCAGTATTCCAGCTATATGAAGGGTTGCAAAGCAAACCAGCCTAAGTCACTTTTTGCAACTTTAAAGGAGAGGCAAAAAACGCTACTTTTTTAATTGTACAAGGAAATGAAAAAAAAATTCTGCTAACTTTTAGCAAAAAAGGAAAACAATTATAACCATGGTAGAGAAAATAGTAGAGTTACTTGTTCATATCGTGGAAAATCGAAAATATCGTATTTTGATGCAAAAAGAGACAGCCTAAGTCAGTGTATTTTTTTAATGCAAGAGAACCTTAGTCATTAAAATCCTGTAGGAGCACAACCTAAGTCAAAATTATTTCTTTTTAAAATTATATTTTTACTTGTTTCACCTGAGATTCGTCATAATTATACAAGAAAAATAATATTTGATAAACCCTATAGTTTCCATGAAAAGTTTCTACATGATATTTTAGTATTCAATGAAGCATCACCAAACATCAATACGCTATCAATCGTAAGCAGAATGATAAAAATACAGATTTTGAAACAGTTGAGCATCTTTCAAGAGGGAATCATTCAAAACATGTGCATTGGTAGTTCCTCTGCACATAATACCATCATCATTGACATGATCATGTACCCCGAAGGTATACACGTTCAACTGTCTGCTATAATACATTTCTGTGTGAGTTAGGTTTGGAAGCATAAAATTCTGTTGATAGTCAAATGAATACATGTCCACAGTGGCTCTTGAACACAAAGTTTCCTCATCGAAGGTGCGATGTGTATCGTTCCAGGAAACCTTTGCTTGAAGTTTGTCTTCTTTCATTTCAGCATATGACTGATCTGCTAAAGTAACATGCACAGTTTTCTCTTCTACCAGTGTTGCCTTCTCCTGATCATTTTCTGTAACCTTTATTTTGGCTTCCAGCAAGTCGCATGTTCCACATGTGTCAGTTCTTGGGTATCCAAAGGACAGAGAGTATTCATTAAATATTTTCCGGTATTGCTGTTCTGGAATTTGTCCTTTGTACTTTTCACCTTGCAGAATACTTTCCCATGCCTCAGGTTCATGTTCTTTTACACACATTCTCCACATTCTTCTAATGTTGAGATTAGCAGGCAAGTACCGTTTGTGTGGATTGTCATTTGGTGAATTATGAGACTTCAGAGGGTAAAGCTTTGATTTGGAACAGAATGTGCAACAGAGGAAGCATCAACTGCTGTTAAACACCCAACACCTTCAAGGTCCTGAACATCAACTTGCGCAGCAACTATATTACTGTAAAGCAATGGAACCGAGTATTTTGCGACAGAATGAATCACATCTGTCAAGATATTGGTATGATAATTCATGGGACTCATGTCGTTCGTGTCAGAATGTGCAGAGGAAGTATCATCAGATGTCATGTCCTTATCTGAACATTCTTCCGTCTCAAGAACACAGTTAACAGTATTTTTTATTGCAGTCTCACTCCTATCATCAAGAAGTTCTGCCACGGAACCACTGTGATCGTCAGTTTCACTATCCTCATCGAATAGCATCTGGACAACTTACATCCCAAAACAATACGTCAGTCAGGCAGATTCACTTTTGTCACAAACCTGTAATCTTTTTGGATAAGATATTGAGTAAACCCATCGGGGATGAGTTAGAAGAGAATCTGGTATCAACTGCATTATACAATGTCCAAAACACACTTCAGCCACATATTCATTGACTAATTGAGACCATTCAATTGTTTGTTCATTTGGAAAAATCCCCCAAAAGGCCAGATCTTTGTTTCCATTCAACATCTGACGTGCCGTCAGTGGTGATATTGGTGCAGAGTTGCAAATTTTCACAGATCGAAGGTCTGGCATGGCATTGACAAATTCAACTTGATCCTCTCCTCTGATTTCTATCAGCCCATGAGTTTTTAGGTGTGTTAAACGCGAACACATTTCAAAACCACGACAGACATCACATACGTCATAGTCTGTCCATCCTGAGACTGTTAATTCTTTTAGACTTTTCATTAGGCCTGCACATTACACACTGCATAGAGGATACATGTAGTGTTGTTAGCAGTAGTTTTGTCGCGTTTGTGCATAGAGGTAAGTAGTTTGAAAAATCTATGTGTTCATCACTTTCACTACTCTGAGATATGTTCAACCATTGTCTGTTGACAGCAGCTACATCTCTTACGATGTAGCAAGGTGGAAGATACTGAAAGATCTCAAATAAAACTTCAAGAGGAAGTCTGTTCATCGGATATCAGAAATCTGCAAGACAAAATGAATTTTGACAATATATTTAACCAAAATCCACAAAAATGTGGATAATATTACATATTATAACGAAGTATGTAAAGTCTACATCTGATATAAATAATTAAAATGCTTTTTTTAGGGTGACAATTTATTCATTACACTCTTCCAACAGTTCAAGCCAAAACAACCTAAGTAAAAAAATCCTAAATTGACTTTTCTTAATACCAAATGATAATCAATATCTGTGTTCATGCTTTTTTGATAATAACAGTTGAAAAATGAAAATTGTCTCATGAACGGCCTATTGATACTCACCTTATATAGTCAAGAATTCGGCAATATGGAGACGACCCTTTTTAGGACACCATGTGCTTCGATGTCTTTTTTGTCTTCTTTGTAGAAGAGTTATGGTGCAAAACAACCTAAGTTAGAGTACTTACAGGCGGAAACGACTTAAGTATGACTAAGGTCATTTTTGCAAAAAAATTCTTATTTTGAGACACTGTTTCGGGTTAAAAATCGTTTAAATCCAAGAAAAAGTTATATTTAGGTAATAGAGCTTAAAGAGTACTTTCTATTTTTGTTATTATACAAAAACAGCCTAAGAAGGACTTAGGCTGTTTTGCTTTCCAAACCTTCATATGACGGCGGTCTGTAAATAAATCGAGTCTGAACCAGACAATCCAGTGATTAATATCATGAGCATCGATCCAGGCAATTGAGTGAGTTGGTATGGTTTTACGCAGCTTTTAGCAATATTCCAGCAATATCACGGCGGGGGACACCAGAAATGGGCTTCACACATTGTGCCCATGTCGGGAATCAAACCCGGGTCTTCGGCGTGACGAGCAAACGCTTTAACCACTAGGCTACCCGACCGCCCCTATCCACGCAATTGGGATCGGTGACATGCAACAACCAAGTCAAGACATATATGTATGCCAAAGTCTTACTTGTGTGCTTGTATACTGTATGAACAATCTGATATGATTAGACGATGTACTGCTCAAAACAAAATGATGGCTATGTTCATACTATTGTTTTTTTTTTTGTAGGCTTTTGTTTGCAGGCAGTTAGACTGGTACATTAGAATGGATCATGTATTGAACTGTATGATTTTGATCAGTTGATACTAAAACCTGATATTGATTAAAGAAAGGACTGCAGCCGAAATGTATGGAAACAGGTGTATTATATGTAGTATATGCATGTACATCTATATGCCATGTTCTTACCTATGTGCACATATACTGTATGAACAATCTGTTTACATTCCATATGATTGGATGATATAATGTTGGATATTTGTAGCGCACATGACTGGAACATGTAATGATGGTTACTGCTTCAATGTACAATGTTATTGAAACGTCTTTGTAATTAAATTACTTCACCTCTTGTTGATAAATATTAATTCAACAAACAATACAATACATATTTAGTTCACATGTCTTTTTGTTGTTTTTCCTTAGCCATCTGCTTTGATAGCATATAGCAGCTTTGCAGCTCAAAGATACGCCATGCTTTTAAACATGTTCATGTCAACACCATGATAACCAAGACACATATAAATCACCAAAATTATTTTATTGATGAACTGATCATTATGTTCGGATCCATATTGATTCACTGTCAGCAATATGGGTAAAATGTGGATTGCTGTTGAACAGCAAGAGATACATTATTATTACAGTTTAATATTTAACATGGTTATTACTGTTGAATTTTCTAGACCATTCAGTCTAACAAATTTAAGTCAAGTCCTTATTGCAGTATTTAGGCCTCAGGCTCAGAGTATGTTTTACAAGCATGAATATAAATTATGTGAAAAATAACTATTTGGCATTTACATATGGATACATAGAGCATGAATCAAAACATGTCACAAGGCACTACAAAGTCGTTTCAGTAAATTATCTCCCTTTGTGTGGGCTTAACTGTTCACGAGCTTTCCTAACTGGTGTACTGCACAATATAAACAAAGGCACATTTTCAAACATACTAGTACTGTCATCAGTCAATTATTTCATTAATCTGTCCATATTACATTTTCATGAGAATGAATATCATTTAAGGACAGGAGGCGGTTGCAAATGTCTCAAAAATACACATATATGCGATATTTTTGTTACCTGCGAAGCCATTGTGATGGGAATAGTTCCTTGTAATATGCGAAAGTTCTTAATTCTTTCCATTTGGCGCTCAACATGAATCCTAAAATGGGCAAGTTTTCTTGTTACAGTCAGTTGTTGCTTTTTAGTTTTAAATGGGGGAATAATGAGGTCAATACCTCTAGGTGTAGTTAAATCAGAGATCAGAAAACCTTTATCTGCCATAATAGCATCACCTTGCTTCCACATTCATCAATTTGCCTCATAACATGTGGCCTCCCACCATCGGATGTGGATCAAACAATGCTTCAAATGTTGATACACTCCAGTGTAAAACATAACACTTTCATTAGAGCACCTGATATCCTCATAGGTCAATGTTGGTCTGTCAGCTTGAATACCAACAGATTCAACTGTTTGGGTGCTTGCATTACAATAGCTACTTTCATTATCTAATGTCTGACTTCCAACTGATGTGACATGTTCTTAAAATGTTTGGGTACATTTATTAACATAAAGACTGATCAACGTTTGAGAACCACAGTAGTCATGATGACTGAGGGAATGTTCAAGTCTCGATACAATTCCTGCAGGTATACGTGAATCCTCTGCAGACACATCACACAGACTTGTATCCTCCATGTGTGAAGCAATTTCATCAACATTATCAATGTGCAGATCCTCGCCAATACCTTGATTCAAAACAGTCTCGCATGTGGTTCCAGGCATAAGATGGGACGCATTCTGTAGATGAAGATAAAATTATCAAACATCAGCTGATATATTTTTCAGGAATGTATGTACTTATTTGGGAAAATGAATGTTATCGATTTTTCTTGCTTACCAAAATGTTTTTATGAGTCATGTATAATTAGATCTATGTCTAAATTTTGTTTGGAATTTACATTCTTAAAGCCAAATTTATCCTGAATAAAATAAGAAATATTAAAAATTAAACTCAGTAATTGATCTTAATATGAACAATACTTGGGTCTTGGCTCCTAAAGTTGTAGGACAGCCTAATTATGCTAATGGAATAACTTGTTTTAACAAAAACACATTGTGTGTACATAACAGGCTTCTCCATTCCCAAATATAACTACATCTAATATCTACTCTACTGTATAAACATTGCCTTCTACATAGTATATATATATATATATATAGATATAGATATAGATATATATATAGACTTGTATCACTTGCTTGTATCACTTGCTTGATAACGGTGATAGAACCAGCACCGACACGTCACTCTTAATTGTAAAAAAGAAGTAGTCCATCCAATAATTCTTATCCTTACTTAGTAACTGAAGCTAATTTTCCTGCTGAACAGCGAGATAGATTTCTGAGGGACCATTTAGTGTTTGGAATGAACTCTGATCATGTCAGAAAAGAATGCTTGAAGCAAGGTAACAGCCTGACACTAGAACAAGTCGTCAGTATGGCCAAAACCAAGGTATCAGCTAGTAAACAACTCCAACGCATGTCATCAAATACAGAAGAAGTAAATGCATTGAAGAGACCTTTGAGCCCAGCACCACAACCAGTTACACTCCCACCCCCAGAGCTCCCAGAATCTACCCAGGTATACTCTGAAGGGGCGTAGATTTCGGCAGCTTACACCGGTAAACAACTGTAACCGATTTTAGTGTGGAGGCAACATCAAAAGTCCAAGACACTGGTTACGGGGTGAGAACGTTTTATTCCCGGTCAATTAAACACACCCTGAAACAATATATCATTCAATATATACAGCGTCATACAATATACCTGAGGCTTAAAAACAGTCCATTACACAAATTAGGTGAAACAAATGACAGATCGTATGACAATACAACAAGGGGAGATAACTCCTTGATTAACTCATATCTTCAAAATATCTTCAAATTAAATATGACACAGACGTCTTAATGCAATACGCATATCAAATAGAATAGATGTGATACTCAGTATCACATAAACATACGGGATGCAAAATAGCATAGTTCCTACCCGCTGTATGGCACTAGGGTGCACACGACGTTCACCAAGCTCCGCAAAGTCAGATATACCAAGCATACCTAAAATCCGTGTAAACAATATGCAACATTAATTCTACAGTAACTACAAATCAACATAGCTATTATCATTACCAACACCTGGAACACATCAAAACAACTTAGGCTAAAACCACATTCGTACTTACATTCACATATACACTATTCTTCCTCTCATATATGAAATCAGTCAATCAAACACTCAAACATGCAACAATTCACTCATAGGAAAAATATAATTACCTGAATGAATTATATGAGTTATTTGATAGTTATTTGTATTGATTCTATACTCTGAAATGCACTAAAACCTGACTGAAGTGTTATTTACATTTAGGTTAGATTTACCATTATTAAGGTTGAATTTACTTGTTTTATTTATATCCACACAATACAAATATAACATATAAAGTGTACACACTCATAAACCAATGTAAGAGATTAAACTAACCTGTGAGGTATTTGCATTTGTTTATGACTCCATGGTATTACAATCCTGATGATGCAAAGAGTGACTGTGAAGTGCAGCTTTGAATTAGGAAAGAGGGCAGGAGTTTGAATGATCCAATCGGTGTTCATTAAATCAGGCCACGTAATAATGTGGTAGCCCTACCTATCTACCCTTAATCATATTAGAATGAAACTAACTATAGAGCTAATAATAGACTCAACCTTCTGTGTCCTTATAATTATAGCCTGTATCAAAAATGACCAAACCTGTTGATAGAACAAAATACATTCATTAGTTAAAATCAGAAATAATACACCTGCAATTCATAATGCAATTGTCATTATACAAATATCAATGCAACACTTAAATGACTTAAAACTAATATTTACATAACTATATAATACAATAATATGTATCTGCCACACACTTCCCCCCCACAAGGAAATGTCGTCCTCGTCATTTTCCTTTACCGGTGATGAGATCCAAAATAGCATCTGATGCTCTGTGTTGTTGGCTGCCAAATACGCCCTCAGCTAAGAGTGAGCTGAGGTAGTTAGCTCGCACAAGCCAATCCGGTTGAGCCACTGCAGAGAAGGCAAACTCTCCTCCTGACATCCACCTAGGCTGTGTCCGAGCTCGGGTAGACCGCCTGGGTTGGGGAGTAGGAGTCTGCATCTGGGGTAGAGGTTCTTGATGTTCTTCTGTATCTACAGTAAGTATCAGATGGTCTGGTGACTGATTCTGGCCATGGGTGTCACGGCCGGCGTCGTCAACATCTTCAGGAGATGGATTCCGTCCATGCGAGTCATGGTCAGCATCATCAATCTCTTCTGGAGATGTATTCCGTCCATGCGAGTCACGGTCAGCGTCATCAATCTCTTCTCCTTCTCTGACAGAATTATCGTCTCCCAAGTCTGGTGCCTGTTCTGTCTCATCTTCAGCTGGCCTGTCAGCTGCATCGTCAGCAGACACTGAAGTACGTGAAGGATATTCATAGATGACCGACTCATCTCCATTTTCATCCTCATCAGATGTAACAGGGCCGGTTCAAGTTTAGGTGAAGTTTTCCTCTGTTTCCTAGGCTTTGGAACTGGTGTAGGTTTTTCTGTGGCTGATTCTGGTTCAGGTGAAGTTATCCTAGGTTTTCTATGCTTTGGAACTGGTATTTCTTGAAGTGGAAGAGACCCAACTGGCAACAGGAGATTCCGATGTAGTGTCTTCTTCTTCCCCTCCCCATTCTCCTTACCAAGAACATACACTGGTATGGAAGGAGTAGGTTGATCCAAAACGACATAGACATCTTCTTCCCATTTATCCGCCAGTTTGTGTCTCCCATCGAAAGCAACGATCTTCACCAGAACTCTGTCCCCAGGCTCTACTGTTGCAGCTCTGGCCCTATGATCATAATAGGTCTTCTGTTTAGACTGAGCCTTTCTTGCTGATGATGAAGCTACGTCGTAGGCGCGTTTTAGACGTTCCTTTAGAGATCTGGTATAATCCAACCTTGACCTAAATGTTCCAGGATGGATATCAAGTCCGAATGCGAGGTCAACTGGCAACCGAGGAGGTCTCCCAAACATCAAGAAGAATGGAGATAGTGATGTTGTCTCATGGCGGGTACAGTTGTAAGCATGGACTAATGGACCTACATGTGCCTTCCAATTCTTCTTGCTGTCTGGATCCAAAGTACCAAGCATGTTGCAAAGTGTGCGATTAAAACGTTCACACATTCCGTTGCCCATAGGATGGTAAGGGGTGGTACGTGACTTGTCGATTTTTAACATTTGGCATAACTCTGACATCAGCTTCCCAACAAAGTTGGCACCTTGGTCTGAATGAATCCTCCTTGGTAATCTGTAGTGTACAACAAAATTGTTGAAGAAAGCTTCAGCTGTGGTCTTTGCTGTCATATTCTTAGTTGGATATGCCTGAGCGTAGCGTGTGAAATGATCAGTGATTACCAGAACATGTTGTTGTCCACCTTTGGAAGGTTCCAAACTAAGATAATCCATACACACTAACTCTAGTGGCTGTGATGTCTGAATGTTTACTAGTGGAGCACGGCTTGTAGTAGCTGTCTTTCGTCGCAGACATCGTGCACACTTCTGCAAATGAAGTTCGACGTCCTTGGTCATTCCTGACCAGTAGAACCTATCCCGTAATAGGGAAATTGTTCTGTCTCTGCCAGGGTGGCCAATGTTGTCATGTAGACTATGCAGAGCTGCTTCACGACATCTAGATGGAAGAACCAGTTGCTCCTGCTCAGCCCCATCCACACTGATCACTCTGTATAGCACTCCTCTCTTCAGCCTGAAATGATTGAAACTCTTCAGTAATGCAATCATCTCCTTGTCGCCAATGAAGCGAGATCGATCTGGTCTAGTTCTGTTTGTGAGATGTTGAATGATTTCAACTAGGGCAGAGTCCTTGGCTTGATATTTCCTCCAGTCCCTTGCATTCATATCGCATCTGTCCTCCGTCTCCTCTTCATCTTCAACTATAGAAGCTGAGAGACACAAACTCTCCATTAAGTTGGTAGTATGAATGGCTCCACAAATGGCATTAACAGAGTCGGTAGGAATCTGTCCCATCTGATTTGATTCATTCCAACCGGGTAAACGACACAGCGTGTCTGCATCAGTATTGGCTGAACCTGGTCTATACCTTATGCTGAAGTTGTAACTTGCAAGGGCTGCAAGCCATCGATGTCTTGTTGCATCTAGACGAGCAGTAGTCAGGACATAGGTGAGAGGATTGTTATCTGTCACTACTTCAAAGTGATGTCCGTATAGGTAGTCATGGAATTTCTCAGAGACTGACCATTTGAGACATAGAAACTCAAGTTTATGCGCTGAATAGTTTCTTTCAGAAGGAGTTAAACTCTGGCTTGCATACGCAATGACACGCAGATGGTCCTCTTGTCGTTGATATAAAACAGCACCTAAACCCTGTGTGGAAGCATCAGTGTGCAATTCAAAAGGCTTTGAATAATCGGCATAACCAAGCACCGGTGGTGTAGTAAGTCTTGTCTTCAGGGTCTTAAAAGCATCCTCTTGTACTGGTCCCCAATTCCAATCAACCTTCTTAGTTTGTTGACGTGACTTCTTGGATCCAGTCTTGGGCATAAGCTCTGACAATGGTCTTGCAATTTTTGAGAAATCTTTGACAAACTTTCTGTAGTAGCCAGCGAATCCCAAGAAGCGTCGGACATCCTCTGGAGTTGTTGGTGTTGGCCAGTCTTTAATCTTTTCTACTTTCTCTGGGTCAGCCTCAATACCATCCTCAGAGACAATATATCCAACGTATCGGACTTTGCGCTTAAAGAACTTGCACTTCTTAGGAGCAAGTTTAAGTCCACACTGCTCAAGTCTCCGGAAGACCAATTCCAACCGTTCTACATGTTCTTCATATGTCCTTGAGAATATGATGAGGTCGTCCAAGTAAATTAAACAGATCTTGAGATGTAGGCCTTCTAGACACTGTTCCATTAATCTTTGATACGTGGCTGGTGCATTGGACAATCCAAAGGGCATCCGGTTATATTCGAAAAATCCGAGTGGACCGACGGTAAATGCTGTCCTCTGTTTGTGTGCCTCCTCAAGTTCAACCTGATGATATCCACTTTTCATATCCAGCAAAGAGAAGAATTTCATCCCACCCAAACAGTCTAACAGTTCTTCAATGCGCGGTAAAGCATAGGAATCCTTAATTGTCCGATTATTAAGCTGGTGAAAATCTATGCACATCCTCAGGCGGCCATCCTTCCTCCTTGCCAAAACAACATTAGATGCCCAAGGACTATGCGAAGGTCTGATAACTCCTGCTGATAGAAGTTCCTGTAGATGTGTTCTGACTTCCTCGTACATTGCTGGAGGGATGCGCCTATGTCTCTGCTTGAAAGGAGTGGAATTCTCAAGATCTATTCGATGATGAACTAAGTCAGAGTGCCCAAGATCTTCATCATGCTTAGAGAAGATATCCTTAAACTTCATGATGACATCAAGTCCTTTCTGGAATTCATCAGATGTAAGTCCCTCTTTTTCTATCTCCACTTGGTCCATCAGTGTTGTAGAGTCTACTGGCAGACAAGTTGGTGGACCTTGAAGAGTGACTGGCTGTATCTCGCAAAGTAAAGACCTGGGTGGGACAACAACTGTCCTGGTGGTGATGTTGGAGACATGAACCTCTACAACATCTGAACTTGACCCATCATATGAAATGAGCGTAGGGGCTAGGTCAACAGCATCTGGAAGGTATGAGTGTTGAGTTGGCTGTAAAAGGGCACAGACGGGTGGTGACCTAAGTCCTCTTGTAATGTATCCTCTAATAATGACATTACTGTTCGCAGGAATCACCATGTTCCTTGTCTCTGCACTCTTAACCAGTCCCAACTTCCCATCATTCCGAGAAAGATCCTTGTCATGCAAGACAATGCTCCGATATGCTAAATACCATGGGGTATGTAAATCAGCTTTCTGTAAAAATTGGTGTCCATGCGACTTCTTACAGTCATCCAGTAAACATCTCAAAATGTTTGTTCCAAGTAAAGCTGGGACTCTAGCATTATATCTTGTGTCTGGTACAATCAGGAATAAACAGGGTATTTCCTCTTTTGTTGTAACTCCTCTACCTGCAGTGTTACTCCAACTTCTATAAATCCCTTATATGGCAGAGACTCACCTCCGGCACACTCAATGTCTAAGACATCATCAAGTGGCTCTATTGGAATATGTTGCAAATGTTGGAGGTAGAATGATTCCGAGATGACAGAAACTGTGGCTCCAGTATCCAATAAGGCATGAACTGGTACACTGTCTATGGTAACTTCCACTTCATTGGCCATTCCTATCAATCCTCCAGGTACCCGCTTATCCTTAGGGCTCCTAAGTAAACCTATAGGTGGCCCTTCCCCATAGGCCTGGGCAAGTTTAAAGGGTGTCTTAGGTGATCTAGTCTTACTCGACATCCACGTGCGATATGGCCAAGATATCCACACCGGTAGCACCTAGGTGGACCTTGCACTTGTGTGTATCTGCTTGAATATGAACCAGGTTCATAAGTGACATCTCGTCTTGGCTGCTGCTGATCACCTTCAACCTGTGTAAAAGGTCCAAAAGCAGACTGAGGTTGAAAGTACCTGTCCTGTGGTGAAGAGCCATAACTTGGATGGGCATCTTTCCGCTGAGGCTTGGTAATGTTTCCTTGATGTCTGTCTGACTGACCATGAAGTCTCTGAGGTATGGAAGGGTTGTTGTAAACTTGTTGGTTTACTTGTGCTTGAGCCTGACTCTGCTCCTTCAACTCGGATATCTCTTTCCGGATCTCCTCTATCATGACTTTGAGATATGTGACTTCCTCCTTAGTTGCAGCAGCACCAGAAGCATTCGAAGTAGTAACCATCCTAGCTGTGGCTGACTGCTTCTTTGTTGGTATTCCAGACTTGTCTCTTTTTAGGTCAAACTCTATCTCTCTCAAACAAAGTAGTAGGTCATCGAAGTTGTTGATGGCATCAAACTTATGAGCAGCAACACCCTTCAGTCCAGACTTGAGTCCATCCCACATACGAGTCCTCAACATCTCATCCTGTTCTTCCTCTGCAGAATGACATCATGGGAGTGGGTCTTAGACTGGAGTAGACAGTCAACTTCAAATCGCCATAAGTCATAGGGAGTATCTTTGCCTGCTTCTCCACTGAAGAAGGGTATCCTGGGAAAATAATGAAATGAAGCAGTGGGATTTTGTCCTTCCTTGACTGGTGCTGATGGAAGAGGTGGCTTGACATCTGGTCCAATGATCAATCCTTCCTGTTTGGACGTGTCTTTGAGCCAAGTCTTGAAATCTTCAGTGTTGTCTATCTTTGGTGCCATTCCCATCTTCTCGAAGATGGTTAGCATGCTCTTAAGTTCCTCCTGATTGAGTTCCATGGTGCAGGTTGGTAGACAAGGTTAATATAATAGTTGGAAGCAAATGCTAACGGAAAGCACACAATTATCCCAAAGTAACTCAGTTACCAAAAACCAAAGCTTGAAATTGCAAGCAAAAGGATGCTATGAACTTGTTCATTCAAAGATGAACTGTATCCACAGGGATACGTACCCTTTGGTAATATGACAACACCCACATACAGGTTCGATGGTTTCAGATAAGGTTAGATAAGTGTATGGCTAACTACCAGTGAACACCTAAAACAACTAGTGGCACTATGGTAACAGCAAGACAGAAGCTGAAAGAAAACAAGTAGCATTAATGTTGCCCAACGGAGTCACACCTGGAATGAAACAATTTAATAAATTCATCAGTGGCCAACCTTGATGCAGGAAGGAAGGAAGCAGACTGGAAGCAGCGAAACCAAAACCCCAAAACTTGACTGAAGCAGACTAAGTGAACACCTAGCTCATTGGCAATAATCAACTTATGTATGTTATCTCACAAAGACAAACAAAGTTAAACAGAACTAAATATCACAGCATCTACTAAACCAATGTTGAGCCTAAATGAATCACCAACCAATACACACAATCCAAAGCGGCAATATATGAATAGGGTTAGTATTGGTATACTAGTGCAAAGTAAAGTGCAGTGTTATAGGAGTGTTATTTGCCTATATAATATGGTTGCTATATAAATGTTTACTAAAAATAGTTTACAATGGTTTAATGTTTATTTATTTGCAATATTTGATATATATATCTATATATGTCGTTGTTTTTAATATTATTATTTTAAGTAAGCAAAGTATAAGGTGTAAAGAAGAATCAAATTAAATCACTTACTCGCAATCAACCACACAAAGAAATAATCTAACTATGATGGATGTAAATGACCTATGTCTAAATTAAACACATGATGTCAAGTAAACAACTAAATAACAGAAATAATTACATCTTTATTGCTTGGCTTGGGTAGGTAGTAAGAAATAAACTTAAGTCCAAAATCTATTCTAATATGGTGAAAGCTATCTAATATCTAATAACTAAGTGTTGGTACCAACATAAGCATAACATGTTAAGCCGGCAATGCACAATTTACAATACAAACAAAAGCTACAGCAATGAATTATCTAAACAAAGGTATACCCGGGGTACGAAATCATAATGGAAGAGTTACATAGCTAGCATGTCCTTCATGGGAGTCATATAAACTGTCTCTTGAATGTCAACAACACAATTCACATGCACCAGTCACATGGTGTCAAGAATATTCCTCACAGTACCGATTATATATGTGGATGAACAATCACTCGACTGGAGTCAATACTGGCTTGGCTGGCTGTACTGGCTGTTTCTATGGAATGCTGGTCCTCACTGGGGGCTCCATTTTGTAACCGATTTTAGTGTGGAGGCAACATCAAAAGTCCAAGACACTGGTTACGGGGTGAGAACGTTTTATTCCCGGTCAATTAAACACACCCTGAAACAATATATCATTCAATATATACAGCGTCATACAATATACCTGAGGCTTAAAAACAGTCCATTACACAAATTAGGTGAAACAAATGACAGATCGTATGACAATACAACAAGGGGAGATAACTCCTTGATTAACTCATATCTTCAAAATATCTTCAAATTAAATATGACACAGACGTCTTAATGCAATACGCATATCAAATAGAATAGATGTGATACTCAGTATCACATAAACATACGGGATGCAAAATAGCATAGTTCCTACCCGGTGTATGGCACTAGGGTGCACACGACGTTCACCAAGCTCCGCCAAGTCAGATATACCAAGCGTACCTAAAATCCGTGTAAACAATATGCAACATTAATTCTACAGTAACTACAAATCAACATAGCTATTATCATTACCAACACCTGGAACATCAAAACAACTTAGGCTAAAACCACATTCGTACTTACATTCACATATACACTATTCTTCCTCTCATATATGAAATCAGTCAATCAAACACTCAAACATGCAACAATTCACTCATAGGGAAAATATAATTACCTGAATGAATTATATGAGTTATTTGATAGTTATTTGTATTGATTCTATACTCTGAAATGCACTAAAACCTGACTGAAGTGTTATTTACATTTAGGTTAGATTTACCATTATTAAAGTTGAATTTACTTGTTTTATTTATATCCACACAATACAAATATAACATATAAAGTGTACACACTCATAAACCAATGTAAGAGATTAAACTAACCTGTGAGGTATTTGCATTTGTTTATGACTCCATGGTATTACAATCCTGATGGTGCAAAGAGTGACTGTGAAGTGCAGCTTTGAATTAGGAAAGAGGGCAAGAGTTTGAATGATCCAATCGGTGTTCATTAAATCAGGCCACGTAATAATGTGGTAGCCCTACCTATCTACCCTTAATCATATTAGAATGAAACTAACTATAGAGCTAATAATAGACTCAACCTTCTGTGTCCTTATAATTATAGCCTGTATCAAAAATGACCAAACCTGTTGATAGAACAAAATACATTCATTAGTTAAAATCAGAAATAATACACCTGCAATTCATAATGCAATTGTCATTATACAAATATCAATGCAACACTTAAATGACTCTAAACTAATATTTACATAACTATATAATACAATAATATGTATCTGCCACACAACGGTAACTTGTCGAAACTGCCAACTTGTTCATTATGAAGGATCAAAGTGCCCAGCGAGAAATGCTAATTGCTATCACTGCAAAAGAACTGGTCATTATTCAAGAGCAACTAGAAAGTTCATGAATTAGAAGCAAACGATCTATCAGAAGATGAAGATAAACTGTACCTTGGCCTGATTGAAGTAACAGAGATTGAAGAATCCATCGACACAGTAGACTCGGACTGCAAGAAATCAATCCTCGACGTATCACTAACAGCCAAGAAAGATTCCACTCGCTACAAATTCATGTGTAAGATCGACTCGGGAGCAGAATGTGATATCCTACCAGCATCCTTATTCTAGAAGCTGTCCAAGAACAATGATTGTTTGAAGAAGCCAACAGTGAAGCTGATGGCCTATTGAGGAACTTCGGTAGAGAATATTGGAACCTGTCACATTCACAGGATGATACCAGGACACAACCGGACAGAACAGATCAAGGTAGAAGTCGCTGATGTAAATGGGACAGTGATAATAGGTTACAGAACTGCCCAAGAACTAGGATTGTTGAAACTAATATTCCCGCTATCATCTGAACCTGTGGAACCTGTGAAGTTATATGACGTGAAAGGCAAGCAGCATCCCTCAGACTTAAGATTATCTCATAGAAGAAAACAAGGATGTATTTACTGGAGTAGGATGCTTTTCAGGAGAACCACAGAATATCATTATCGAACCAAACGTACAACCTGTACAACATCTGGCACGAAAAGTTCCTGTTCACATGCATGAACAGTATAGAGAGCAGCTATCCGATCTCGTCAGCATCGTGGATCAGCTCTACAGTACTGACAACACGAGCCAATGGGAAGATACGGATGTGTTTGGATCCGAGAGACTCGAATAGAGCACTCCTAAGAAGCCCGTGCTACATGAGAACAGTCAAGAAAAGAAGTTTATTGTATGAAAGGCCTCCGGCCTATATACAACACATACAATGTATACATACTTTCAACATATGTGCATTCTAGGAGACATTTGTATTTACAAGTTCTTGACGAATATTGAGTGCTTGATGGAGGAAATGAGCTAGGCTGTAGATTACATCAGAAGATTGATTAGACATAAGTGATATAAGGGATGTGGTACATTGCTGTTTAAGGTATTTAGCGGGTATAAAACGTTTCGGATATCTTGGTAAAACTCACAGATAAAAGGTACATGAAATTCGTCCTCAACACCCATATCACAAAATGGACACAAACGCATAGATTTTAACGTATTATGTCTTCTTCCGGTATTTACTCTAATATCACTCAGTCCCATACGAAAACGCGTGAATGTTGAACGAAGATTTAAATTACAAAAAAACACTTAAATATTTTTCAGGCTCCAGTAAGGATTTGAATGATCAATACACATCATATCTTCACCTGGAATTTAAATTCGACATCCATGTTTGATAAAAGGTATTTACAATTCTTTCTTTGAACATATTTACAAACATACAGGTGTTACCAACTCCTTGATAAATCCAAGCATAGCCAAAGCCATTTGGGAACAAAAGTCCCCGAATATTTGATGCCCAAGTGTTGTAACCCAGATTATCATAGTTGTATAACATATTGTAAGCTTTCCTTGGCAGTCGCTGTTTGTGCACAGTAGGTATTTTTAGCCAATATCTGATACAACGAATATATGAATTAACGTACAAAGGATATCTACCGCACTCTCCGTAAACAATATTATTAGGGGAGTTGACACCAATCATTAAAATTTTTTACAAGCAAGAAGATGTACTTTTTCGGTTGTCTTAAAGTGTTTAAAACCCCATAATTCAGAGCCATACACAATTATTGGTTGTATCTGTGTGTCAAACAATTTAAAGAATATACTAGGGGATAAAGGCTGGAGTTTAGATAGAGTTGACAATATCATGACCATTGCTTTTTAACCCCTTACAGATAAATCCTGAACAAGATTACCCATACTTAAAGTGTTGGTAAACAGAACACCTAGGTATTTATACTTACTAACAACTTTAACTCTCGAACCCTTATATAACCATTTTTCGACTGAAGCTAATGGGCCACCTCTTCTAAAAACGACTATGTTTGTCTTTTCTAAGTTTACAGTTAACTTCCAATCATTAGTGTAATCAGTCAAAATGTTTTATTGGTTCTGAAGACCTGAGACCGAGTGGGATATAAGAATAACATCATCAGCAAACAATAATAAGAACAATTCTAAAATATCCGGACATAATTGGACCCCGTGTTTGCCACTATTCATTATTTCTATACACAATTCGTTAATAAAGAATGAAAATAGAATGGGACTTAATATGCATCCTTGTTTCAAGCCAAGTGGACAATAAAAAAGTCAGTGAAATCACCTTTACAGCGCGCACACACCCTGACATTAGAGTACATACTATTAAGAATCAGGTACATTTTGCCCTGTAATCCAGCACTCTAAGGCACACCCACAGTTTATCATGATTCACAGAATCAAAAGCCTTCCGGAAATCAACAAAAGCTACATAGAGTTTTCTCCAACGTTTCATCAAATATTTTTCTATAATTGCATTTAATGTAAAAATATGATCTGTAGTCGAATAGTGTTTTCTAAACCCGGCCTGATATTCTGGAATTCTATCCCTCATATTGGCCAATAACGTTAGTCTGTTGTTTAATATACTCGAAAATATTTTCCCCAAAATACTGTTTAATGTTATACCTCTATAAATATCTGCATTGCTAGCATCTCCTTTCTTATGAATAGGTATAACAATGCCCTTCTTTCACTAACTTGGAAATACGGCTGGACGAAAAATCATATTAAACAATTCTGTAAGATAGGGCAAAATTATCTCCCTTGATGATTGCAGCATTTTAGCAAGAATATTATCCAATCCCGGGGATTTACGTTTTTTAAGTGACTGAATTGCTGTCAGTATTTCATGACGTTGAATATCAAATTCAAGGATTTCCCGATCTATTTCAGAAAAGAAATCATCTTCATTTATAGGACCATATATGTCATCAAAAAGCGTATGATCAAATACGTCATTTGTTGAAAATACTTCTTTAAAATGAATTGCCCATTCAGCTTTTGAAATGCTACAAGCAGGGATGTTTCTCATGTTAATGGATCGAACCTCTTTCCAAAATTTCTTAGCATTACCCATTGCATTACATAGCTGTCTAATTCTATTGTGTCGTATCTTATTCTTATATAACCTGATTTCGTACTGATATCGATTTCTTAAGGAACAGTAACTCTTTCTGTTATCAGCAGACTTGTTACTTCTAAATTTCCGTAGTGCTCGCCTCGTAGCACGTTTTGCCTGCATACATTCAATGCTATAACGTCTGTTAATCATGTAGCCATTCTTAGAGCATAAGGCTTTCTTTATGCAGCTGGCGGAATTCAGTAAATAGTCTACGAAGCTAGACAAAGACCTATCTATATCAACATGTAGAAGTTCTATTCAGTCAGATTAAGACAGCTCTTAAGATTATCCAAGTAACGAGATTCGTGAAAATCATTCCAAACATATTTGACCAGAGGCTGGTCACTACACTGGTCAAGACTGTTACTTGTTGGTTATATGTGACAAGATAATTCAAGAGGAAAATGGTCAGAGACGGGGTTTTCAGCAATACATAATGAGGAAATATGATGGAAGATATCAACTGAACAAATGAAAAAAACATTAACGCTACTTACCTGGTGGCTTACAAATGTAAATTCTCCGTGCAAATCCCCATTCACACGCCCATTAACTATGCACAGATTAAGAACATTGCAAACGTTCAATAAAAGTTGACCAAATCTATTTACAACCGAGAGAGAGTCTAAACACAACAAGTTGTCAACATAAAGAGCTATTGGATGACATAGTCTTAGAAGTTCATGTTTTATACCGACACATACCCCGCCACAAGAACGTCCGGAGCTGGATAAACTAATTGCACTTGAATAAAACAAGCTATACCCTGCGATCCAAAGTTCAGGTATTCTATCAACAACAAAAGTTTCAGTGAGACAGAATATATCAAAGGTCCGTAGATATGATAGGAAATCCTCATCAAGAGTACTTGCTATAAAGACCGTTTACATTCCACGAACAAAGATAATACCGCATCGTCGTCACTGCATGGATTCACAGAAGCGTCCGTACAATCACCGGTGTAGTTGCTATTTGATCCATCTGAAATTTGGCCTTGGCCCCCATCCTATCTGTCACCTCTCTCACTTGATAGAGTTCTCACACCGTGTTGTTGGAGATGACGTACAGATCTGTTTCTTGCTGGTGTTGTGGGGACATCCTGACGGGAAACGGAAGGACGCGTATCAGGAACCGTCACGAGTTTCCCCTGCTTGTAATAGACACGACACCAGTTCCCTCCAGTTCTTTGAGTCGTCTGCGTTGTCTCATCGTCAGGTCGTTTGCGATATTGAATCATGTTCTTTAAATGATGGTCTTGCTTTCAATGTGTAGATTTTATCAATGGATTCCTGGAATTTCGCGATAAGAGGTCTGGGTCTAGTAGAGTCTAGACGTTTAGTCCCAAGTCTGTGTGCGCTGTTGATATCACACTTTTGCCACATCTTTGTTTTCACATGTTCCTTCAAGAGAGAGATAATAATATCTTCCGATTTTCAAGACATTTCATTTTCAAACTCTGGAATACCGTTAAAGATCACATTGTCACGTCTACTGTATGCTTCTAGTTTGTCAAGCTCATCCTCAACGTCACTGTACCTGTTCTGAATAACGTCTACTTTTTCTGTCAAAGCATCGATATCGTCATACATTATGCCACTATTCTTCTTAAGTACGTCAACATCTGTCTCTGTTGCAGTTACCCCACCTTCTAGATGCAAATATTTGTCGTTGAGTGTTCTAATTTCAGATTTTAGTTCTGCCATTTCATTTCACATGACGGAGTTCGGACTGGATTGAGTCACGTATCTGGTCGAGTGTTGTCGGCCCCATGTTGTCGGCGCGGGTTATCGCGCATCAAATGCACGGACTTGTTGGGTGAAGCGTGATGTTACACTGCACTCAAATCTGGTCATCATCACAACAGGCTTCGCAAAATAAGTTCTCAGCACTGAATAATCTTGAAAATTGAAACTTTTCTTGCAGAATTTGCATAAGAGCAAACACAGAAAGTAAGTGTGTTGTAAATAAGAATAAACATACAAAAACTCTCAGGTTTGTATCAGATCCATGGACAAACTTTGTGTACCTGTCGTGAGCGAGTTCAGGTTGGCGTGTCCCTCGAGGTTGCATAAAGGTGTCGATCCGAGCTCTGTACAAAGCGATCGAGATCATAGTCGATGACATCGCCACTTATTTCACTATTATGGACGCCTGAAATGGTTTCTGGCAAGTAAAACTTGATGATGAAAGCAGAAAGCTTTGCACGATCAGCGCCCCCTGGGGAAAATATCGATGGACGAGGTTACCGTTTGGATTTTCTCTCAGTAGTGATACTTTCCAGGAGAAGATGGATAATGTATTTGGACATCTCGATGGACTAACAGGTAAAGCTGATGATACTGAAGGAAAACCAGTGTGCTATGCCAGTAGGTCACTCAAAGATGTTGAGATATCGAGAGAGAACTTCTAGTGAATATGTTGGCGTTAGACAAACTGAATCACCACATCTATGGAAGACATACGGTAAAAGAGACTGATCACAAACCACTGGAAAGTATTTGGAAGAAAACGATTGAGAGTGCATCCCCTCGTTTACAGAGAATACTTCTACGACTAGCGAAGTATGAGACAGACATTACCTACAACCCCCGGAAGAAAAATGTAGTTGCAGATGTATTGTCAAGATTCGCACCATGTCCAAGTGAGACTCCTATGATTGACATTGATACCAAGACACTGCCTGTGACTCCGTCAAAGCTTGAAGAGATCAATTTTGAACACAAAAAGATCGAACGCTGAATCACGTCAAAGATATCATCTTTCATGGATGTCCAGAACATATCACAGAAAGTCCTCCAGGTCTGAGAGAATATTGGTCGTATTGTGAAAGTGAAAATTTTGTGTAGAAAATTGAATAATACTTAAAGGACATCGCATCCTCATGCCGCCTTCACTCTGACAACAAACGAATCTGATCCATGAGGGACACCCGGGATCTATAGTGACACACATGGAACAGAAAAGTGTCTACTGAAAGCAAGAGACTCAATATTTTGGCCCATCTGATAACTAACAGCTCACAGCAGAATGCAGAACCTGTTAACAGTTTGCCAAGAAACAGCCGAAGGAACCACCTTCTTTCCTGAACAACTTCATAACATACCGTCATATCCCTGGCAGAAAATTCGAGCTGACTTATTTGACTATAAAGGTAATCAATACTTACTTGTATCAAATTATTACAACACGTTTCTGGTAGCAAGGAAGTTGGAGAGCCACACATCAGCAGCAGTAATACAGTACCTGAAGTCAATCTTTGCAGAGTACATAGAGTACCAGCCATTCTCATCACGGACAACAGACCCCAGTTCAGTTGTCGAGAGTTCGCCACTTTTTGCGTACAATGGGGAATCGCTCATCAAACAAGTTCGCCATTTTTCCTGCAAAGCAACGGACACAATGAAAGAATGGTACAGTTTGTCAAGAACCTGTTGAAGAAGTCAGAAATATCAGGTGAAGATCCTTACTTAGCACTACTTACCTACAGAACAACACCTGTCTATGCTAAACTACCTGCACATGCGACACTACTCAACAACTTCCCTGCAGTGGTCACCTTCAACGCAATTAATCTGACGACAGCAACATGGGGTGAATGAGTTAAAATTCAACATCACATCGGCATTATTTCAGCCATATAGCGACGAGACCAAGTTAATATATTCACAACTTAGCTCTTTATGCAAAAGTTATGTTTAAAAACACATTATGATACATGTTTGAGCATACTATGTTTAAAAACAATTTATGAAACATATTTGAGCATAACCATGCAGTTTAAAACATGGGCTATAGGCCACCAGTAACCAAAGCTAGGCCACCTCGCTTGGGATCATGGGGACTTACAGTACCTCTGCATATAAACCTCCAGTGGCAGCTTGTCATTGTTTATTGAGGGTATTCTTTTCTCAAGATAACCTGCTCTCCCGGTTATTCTATAGAATATCCCTACTCTCCGGGTTATTCTATAGAATATCCCAGGGACATTCTATAAAACGTCCCTCATCCCAGGGATATTCTATAGAATGACCAAGGGATATTAGACATAATTTCCCGGGCATTAAAGCAATATATAAAGTACCAAAAAACAAGTTTCAAAATTTTATTATTCACTTGAAACACCAATCGTTACATTTACGAGATTTTAACATTGAACACGACATCTGCCTTGTCCTTGTTCACCGACTCGGTTGTCGCCGTCTTTGCCGTTACCACGCACCCGGTTGTCCCTTCCGATGCAGTTGTCGCCGTCTCCGACTGAAGTCGCTTAGGTGCATTTGACAGGATGTCAGACATGTTAGCCTTCTGTACGTCCGATGTACGTTTGTAGCTTCGCACAGCTTCGCTCTTGTGACCTTCATGGAAAAAGGAATATTCTTAAACTGGTAACAAATGGAGTTTTAAAAAGTGTGGACTTAATGTCACATTACTGAAACACTGAAGATACGAGAACAGGAAAATATGACGAATTCATGGGACATAATGTAGGCGTTTTCGTGTACTAAATTTTGTAGTTTTTTAAAAAGAACAAGCAAAACCTTTTGCTAACCAGTTATCTCGCAGATCATCTGTTCATCTTCGTTGGCTTGATAAAGCCTTGTAGCAGCCGTGGCTCTGTGAGGGTGGTTTGTCTTGGTGCCTTCCAAACCAGCTTCTTTGCACAGGCGCTTGACCGTGGCTTGGAGCGTGCTATGCCCAACAGGTGTCTGTAGGTACCATTTTCCATCCTTCAGCATGGTTCGGGGAGTGAAATAGAAGTAGTCAGTATTCTTTCCGTCTTCACTACAAAAACAGTAAAAATACTAACATCAACAATATAATACAACCTAAAATATATTCCATTTGATGTCTAATCAATGATTAAACTGGTTACCTGTTTAAGGTCAATCAAAATAACACGAAGTGTTAAAAGATAACATTATTCTACTTCGCAATTTGAATTGGAGTTTAGATTTTTGAAAACAATTTAAAATAAAGATGATATTTCCATAGACCAATTTCGCCATCTTTGAAGCCATATATATATATATATATATATATATATATATATATATATACACACCTGAATATCGATTTTAAAGAAAGCCTAAAGTTCGTTTAAGATTTTTGTGTACTTGCAGTTACAGGGGAACTGAGTGTGTATACAAATGTATATCATACTCACCACAGTGACTTGTACTTCACAAACAGTCGTACATAACAGCGGTCGTGATTTTCTCAGTTTTTGTAGGCACGCACGGTAACTTGGGGTTCCTGAACATCCTCAAGGACCTGTGCTCCTTCCCTCCCCTCAGCGCGAAGTGCAGACCTACAAATATACTTGAAATGTAATTATGTTAATTATGGAAACTTTGCTTTACAGAACTACTTAAAATAATTTGAATTACAAGGTCAAGACAAACAGTTTGCTTTTTTTAAAAACTACTGGCCGGGTCAAAATCGTTCTATGTACTTGCAACACACACGAAAATAAAGGAGAGCTTAAAAAGAATTAAAGTGTTTTACATAGTTTCTAATCTTGACTTGTGATTTTTCGGTTTAAATGTACAGAATTTCACGGATCAACTATCCAATCCGGGTCATTACAATTTGAATTTCATTCATGGTGAGAATCTGGTCTGTAAAATTAGGTGCAATTTACACTTTCGTTACACAATTTTATATTTTTAAGTAAAACTCGTATCACTTACGTCAACGACAAATACACAAAAATGTAACTTGCCTGTAAGGTACAAAATTGAGTCCAACAGTTGTCTTGGTGTTTGGTCCCCCAGCATCCCAGATTTCCAAAGCTGCTCCTCTTCCTCACATGTGATTGGTCTCAGTTGGCTTTCTGCATGTTGCCCCCAAACCCTCGGCAGAACGTTTCCTCATGACGGCGTCCAAACACCTTCGACTGTCTTCAAACTCTTCGCCTTCAAACATATTTATGTGGGAACCTTTATAGCTCTGATAGCCGACTGTAGTGAAGTGAATATGCCGTAAATAGTATGTGATGGATAGTGGCCTCCATCTTGTTTTCGTGCTTCGAATAAGAAAAATTTCATTGCTATACCGATGTTTTCAGGCTTCATTTCCAATATATTTTGTGTCTAACATTCACTCGGAAGATCCAAATTGCAATCCATAGCCCTTTGTCTTCTCTCATCTTGCCATCTTTGGAAAACCGTAAGGGCCCAGTCGCTTTTGTGCCTTGTCGAATTAGGTACACAAATTTCGAGTTCCTTATCAATGTCCATGCTGTCCAGAGGATCACCAAATCTAAACTGAAACTCAGGGTCAATATCATCCTTTTCCTCAATTTCAATAACGCTCGACTGAGTCACAAAAATATCATCGCCGTCTTCTCTCTCCATCCTTCTTGTCGTGCATCGTACTGCTGACAGAAATGAGAAGACGTCCGACGTGTACGACTTTAATCGCGAACTTCCAGCACGTGCAAATCGTGGAAAGTCTGATGCCCGCGCATGTGCTTGGGTGTATTCGTTTCTGAGTTTCCCTTACAATTATCCAAATACAAAATACCCAAACAAAATTTGTCATGAAAAAGTGCATTTTTCGTATTTTCTGTCGATTTATATATCGGGTTTGGTTGAAATATAAACACTTGCCCGATTCATGTTTGGAAACGTTACTTAATATATTTGATGAAATATGGACAACCGGAATTTTTTCTCTTCTTCGTGGCACAATTCTATTATTATTCCTTTTCCAAAAACTGGACGGGATCACACAGATCCATCCAACTACCGTGCAATGTCAATACCTAGTTGCGTTTGTAAAACCATGGAGAACATGGTCAACAATCGATTAGTCTGGTACGTGGAGACCAATAACCTACTCGGTGACATCCAGTGTGGTTTCCGAAATAACAGTACCATTGACCATTTGGTGCGTTTAGAATCATTTATTAAAAATCCTATTGCCAACAAACAGCATACTGTATCAAACTTGTTCGATCTAGAGAAGGCATATGATACACTGTGGAAACATGGTATTATAAAACATTTGCATGAATTTGGATTGAAGGGCAGATTGCCTCAGTTCATATCTCAGTTTCAAGTACGAGTGGGCTCTTCCCTGTCTGATCATTTCGATCAAAATCAGGGCGTCCCTTAAGGCAGCATACTATCAGTCACACTTTTCAGCATCAAAATTAATAGTCTCACTAAAATATTAAACAATAGTGCTGATTGTTCACTTATTGTAGACGGGTTCAACATTTCTTGTCGTGGTAAGAATGTGAATACAACAGAAAGACAGCTACTGCTCCATCTTAACAAAATTCAAAAATGGGCGAACGAAAACAGCTTCAAATTTTCAAAATCCAAAACAAACTATATTTACTTTTGTCGTAAATATAAACCTCAAAAGGACCCAGAATTATCTTTAGATGGTACTCCTTACAAGGTAGTAGAGGAGGCCAAATTCCTGGGCCTCAGATTTGACTCGTCATTGCTTTTTCAACCCTCAGTATGAAAACCTGTTTTAAAATCTGTCAAACTTGATTCCTTCACTTGGAATCGGAATTCAACCATACATCACTGCAGCTAAAATAGATCTAAATAAAACAAATATAATACCACCTTATCGTCTTCTGTCTTCTCCTCCTTGGCAGACGGTGAAACCAGAGATAGACCCCTCTCTTACAGCAACAGGGATCAACTAGAACAAAGACAGATTCAACAAAAACAACAATACGATAAACATGCATCAAACGAGCCATCCAATCCTGTGCCAAAACAACCAGTAAGCATCTATGTGCCAAAGACTAAACAATTGACACCAGCTAATGTTAAAACAAAACTGGAATCCCCTAGATCCTTCAGTGTAGTAACAACTGCAGGAACAGAATATCGATGTAACGGAACACATCTCCGTCCAATTCAAGAGCCAACCACCTCAGTTGCCACAGCAACATCGTCGTCAGCAGCAACGACTCCTTTCCGTCCGCTGCCAACACCACACCATCAACGATCCTCACAACCAGTCAACCCTAAAGTCACAACAAGTGGTCGTCTTGTTTGGTTTGTTTGTTTGTTGTTTTACGCCACACTCAACATTCCTGCTTTATAACGGCGGTCTGTAAATAATCGAGTCTGGACCAGACAATCCAGTGATTAATATCATGAGCATCGATCCATGCAATTGGGATCGATGACATGCATCAACCAAGTCAGCGAGCCTGACCACCCGATCCCGTTAGTCACCTTTTACGGCAAGCATGGGTTGCTGAAGACCTATTCTATCCCGGAATCTCCACGGGTAAGATCGTCTTGTAAAGCCACTAAAACGACTTGACTTATAAACTGTAAATATGTGAGAAATGTGTTTGTTTAGTCAAAATGACTTTATTGATTATTATATGAAAAAATGACTTTAAAGTTAAGCTGTGACTTATTCCACTGTAGTTCATAATCATTTTTCCAAGGAGGAAGAAATATGAATTGTTTTAAGTGTTAATGTGAAAGTTAAATATATGGACTGTTTTAAGTGTTCATATGAATATGGACTGTTGAAAGTGCCTTAGTAAAAAAATCAACAAAAGACTCTAAAAGTGTTAAGTAACTTTAATTTAGATTTCAGTGTTGCTGAAAAAATGATTTGAATATGTTTTGTTATAGATATTCTGTTCAAGTAAATGCAACTTAAAAGGGGAGATGTGAACATATTGAGTTTACACCGGTCTACTATGGACCAACCGGAAGTGTCACCGGTAAGATGCATTGGGGTCAACACATGCATTTTCTTTCTTTTTATCTTTGTTTCTTAACCCCGCCCTCAGCAATATTCCAGCTATATGACGGCGGTCTGTAAATAAGCATGGCGAAGTGAACATTTTGAACCCACTATCAATCTTGTCTTTAATATTGATAAGTTTACACCACACGGTTGCGTGTTGGAGTCACTGAGATGCAATACTATTTTCGACGACCACCCGATGAACGTTTTTATGTTGACGCGATGTGCAGTGCTCCTTAATACTGTCAAGGATGTACATGTAGTTTCGATGGTCTGTATGCCTCTGGTATGTTTAGAGCACAATGCAGCAGTAATACATATACTTACTGTGGTAATCTGTCCTTCTGTGCGTGTCAGGAATGAAATCTCAATTAGTTTCGTTATCTGACTGACCAGGACGTCTGCTATGGTATTCATCTTTGTGAAACCATTCGAAATACAAGTGAGTGAATGAGGTTTTACGCCTCTTTTAGCAATATTCCAGCAATATCACGGCGGGGGACACCAGAAATGGGCTTCACACATAGTACCCATGTCGGGAATCGAACCCGGTTTTTTGGCGTGACGAGCGAACTATTTAACCACTAGGCTACCCGACCGCCCCCATTCGAAATTCAAAGAGGTATCTGATTGGACATTGCGTTTTTATTGCCAGGGACAAAACTCGTGTCCAAAACGGGGTGACGCTATGATTATACCTTGAAAAAGTAGCCTTGGGCAGAAGCATTTTCGTCGACTGTCACAGCAAACATGGGACTCTGGTGATTAATTCTAACAGGGAAGTCCCAAGGTGTTCCGCGTATATGTTCTGTCACATGTACTCCTAAAGACAATCGGCACTAACGTATACTGACTGCATATGTCATGTATTAGCCCGCTTGTTGGTACATAAGTGTGCATATAACATGCTAGTTTGGGGCTAAAGTTTGCAAGCTGTTCATCATACCAATACTAAGATGTTATTGTGATTCAGATTTTAGAATCTACCATGAATCTACCAGAATCTCAATTCTACCATGGTCAATGACAGACCGCCATCGACTGAGAAAAACGATATGAACCTAATGATACTTCTGTGTTGGAGAACATGACAAATTTCTCATAGCGGGGTAAAAAGATACTATCTTACCTTACAGGACAGCTTTACTTCCTCGGTTATGCAGTGTATTAGTTATACGTCCAGTTTCTATAAGGAATTGACCGTTTTATACAATGGGTGTTGACTAAAGTGTTGACACATCAATACATTGTTCGCAGGAAAATTATATCAAACGGATAGGTTGGTCAGACCAGGTGACATGGTTCATTGCATGACGTCGTATCCTTATTTACTAGGATCGATGTTCAATCACTATATTGTCTGGCCCAGAAGATCAGTTTACAGACCGCTGTCATATAGATGAGTGTGAAAACATGGGACATAGGGGATTATGTCTGACAGAGAATACCCACGGCGTTCGGCGCATTGGTCAGGGTTATGTCAGATGTAGATTGACCATTTACAGACCGCCATCATATAGATTTGAGTATCGCTGACGGGGGCGTTAAACATCAAAGAAAACAAATGAAACATCAATCACTGTTATTCCAGTTAATATATTAAAATTGATTCTGATATTATAGATGTTGAAAAGATAATCCACTGCCTTGCATTAGGAAGGGGTTAACTGAAATGAAACAAAGCAAACGCTTTTTACTTACTAACCCTTGTGTCATACCATATGTTTTCATGTCTGTTTTAGTTTAAGGGCGCACTCAACAATACTCCAGCTTTAGGATAGTGATCTGTAAATAATAGAATCTGCACTATACAAACATGCTTGATAGTAACATTATGTCACAACGGATACATTTAGGAAATTCATGCTCGTCAGGTTTTATCGTCAACTAATCTGTTATTGACCATGCTTTCCATGGTTTTACAACCACAGCTAGAAATTTTACTCGTAGACAATATAAAGATATGACATTGCCAAGTATGATCATGGGCTTTAGTATGCGAAAGATTTTTAGAGTACACACTGATCCATTGACCTGGGAAATAAAACAATTGTTCATATAGTACTGAATATGAACTATAAAAAAGTCACTAAGTTTGAGGTTCAATTGAGCCTGCTCTTTCTATGAATATTTCAAAAGAGGTGTCATGCAACTCTTTGAGAAAAAGGGGCGGTCGGGTAGTCTAGTGGTTAAAGCGTTCACTCGTCACGCCGAAGACCCGGGTTCGTTTCCCGACATGGGTACAATGTGTGAAGCTCATTTATGGTGTCCCCCGTTGCGATAGTGCTGGAATATTGCTAAAAGCGGCGTAAAGCCATACTCACTCACTCACTCACTCACTAAAAAAAATGTTTGATCAAGGTTACATCATTCAAGTTCTCAGTGAAGCTTATATAACAGACATGTGGAGAATAAATATTCCCGTGTGTTTGAAGGTGACCAATTGATTTCCCTTTGCATGTGTTTGTAAAGGGTGCCAGGGATGGCGCTTGATACGCTCACCTTTTCGCTAACAGCTGGTATCATCACTGTTTGATAGTAATTTACATACGCATGTCAATTATGCAGTCGGAATCATACAATGGACCCTGCTTTTAGCAGATATTTCTTTTGATTTTGGAATGAATTTTGTCCCTTTATTTTATAGGATGATCTTCCCTGAGGTCAGCCAGGCCAATACCTTTACTAAGGCTGGTATATGGAAAGCCACATCCTGTGTCAGTGAACCGTGTCGTTGCACTTGCTGATCCAGGGAACGCCTATAAAGAATGTGCGATCATGGAAAACCTTAATGTCAATAAACCAGCTTAGTTTGGATTTGGCTTAATTATATTACTGGGCACACCCTAACAAACCTTTGAACATTAATATAATCAAGAGATTGCATTGCCTATCTGCTCTAACCGAACAAATTGTAACGCCATGGTACAATGATGACCACATTCTGCGTTGCGTAGCTTTCTTATTTAACCTTACGTTACGCGACTTTGTTTTTCTGTTAATCATGGCTTACTGTGGAAGCGATGCAGGTACCGGGATTTTTAAACTTAGGTAGTCCTGTGGTTAAAGCGTTGTCTCGTCACACCATGAGCCTAGTTTGATTCCCCACATGATATCAATATGTAAAACCCAGGTGTACTGAAGGGATGATACGTACACATTGGTAAATGAGGCATAAAATCATACACACACAGTTGACACAAAAGTGAATATAGTCTCTTTGAGATTGCTGTGCTTTAGACATATTTCAGAATGTTTTTTAACGAAAATATATGCAAGTAAGATGTTTGACACAGGTTGTATACACAATCGCCCTTGTGTACGGTTTAGATCATAACTTCAACTTAAATTTATTCATCAACATGTGCATACAACTGGCTTCATAACAATAACGTCAACACAAGATATATATTACACTCAGATATCGAGGTATGCATGACAGAATTAAAAAAAGGCAAGTTATGAACGTTTATTTTAAAGTTTATCTTGGGTATACAAGAAGCAAGTTTACAGGGTTTGTTTGCTTAGTCCTATTCCAGGCTAGATCTTATGAAACATCAATAAACTTTTGATGCAATAATCAGACACGGTTTCATAATGCTTTTCACAAGAAGATAAAATATGAAGATGAAAAAAGTCAGCTGCAGTATTTGGGTCCCCACTTCGGGACCCGTGAAGATTCCGGGGTAGAATAGGTCTTCAGCAACCCATGCTTGCCGTAAAAGGCGACTAACGGGATCGGGTGGTCAGGCTCGCTGACTTGGTTGATGCATGTCATCGTTCCCAATTGCATGGATCGATGCTCATGGTATTAATCACTAGATTGTCTGGTCCAGACTTGATTATTTACAGACCGACGTCATATAGCTGGTATTTTGCTGAGTGCGGCGTTAAACAACAAACCAACCAAACCATCCCCACTTCGGGCTTTTCCGTAATGAAACCGCTGCCTTATATTTAAACGCGCACGCGAGAGCGAGCCGAGTACCGTTTGGAGGTATTTGTGAGCCATAAGGACCCCAAAGATGAGCTGGACGTGAAAAGTTTGGGGACCCAAATACTGCAGTCTACTCAATAAATATCTATATACTATATAGAATGTCTCTTCATTCCAAAAGAATATCCGTGAAAAGTATTACCACATAATGTTCAGGGCAGATTTATTTTGCCATCATTTAAAAGAAAATATGAACAAGATTTGATTCAGTAATAGTTAATTGATAAGACACCCACCTGGCGACTAACGGGATCGGGTGGTCAGGCTCGCTGACTTATTGCATGTCATCGTACAACAAATGCGTGGATCGATGCTCATGTTATCAATCACTGGATTGTCTTCTCCAGACTCGATTATTTACGGACCGCCGTTATATAGCTTGAATGTTGAGTGTGGCGTAAAACAACAAACCAACCAACCAACCAAACAAGACGACCACTTGTTGTGACTTTAGGGTTGACTGGAGGTGCTGGTGTGGCGTTAAACAACAAACAAACAAACAAACAAAGGATGGGCAACCAACAAAAGCAGATGTTGCGTTGGCCAGTAGAAAGATCGTTATGTAGTTCTGCAATATCCAGAAATAATGGATGACTTGAGGAAACACCTTTTTGTGGTTAATATGAGTTTATTGTTTAAGGTACCACCATCCTTAAACCGGTCAGTAACATAGGATGTGTGAAATTTCTTTGCTCTCAATTTATTATTTGCCTGATGGCATACCATTATTTAGCCAAAATATCAATGAAAACCTCACGTCAAAAACACAGCTTAATGGATAAAAAAGATAATACTGGACACACCCTAACGAAGTTTAAACGCATTATCACAATCACTGTCTTGCATTGCATTGTCTATCCGCCCTAACCCATCCAAGCGTAACCTGTGGTATAAAGGTGGCCTTATTCTGTCTCCAAGACATATCCAGAAGCGTTTGACTGCAAGGTGACTCTTCAGAGCAGGTGAGCTTTCTCATTTAGATTGACATCCATAGTTGAGCATGTGAGTTGCCTGTTACGCCGCTTTGAACAGTGCTTCTGTTATATCTTGGCCTACTGTGCAGCGATGCATTTTCGGGACTTTTGAAACTTGGTTCATATGCCCAGTGTGATTTCCCTACTTATCTCCAATATGTGAAGCCCAGCTCTGGCGTCCACCCTGGGACAATTGTTGGACATTGCTGAAAGATGAGTAAAACAATACTCACTCATTCATTTTCAACTTCGGTGACGACGGAATCGTAAGGCCCGTTATGCTTTAGAATATACTCCAGCATGATTATTAACTTATTATATTTTTAACTCTAATTTGCATATGCTAGAATGTTTAGCACAGGTTTCATACACAATCGTCCTTGAGCAGGGTTTAGATTATACCCCAGTTCACCCCGATTATGTTTCTGGTTCTGCTTTCTACACCATACCCGTGCTCATGGGTTTCACTGAAGTGATCTATGACCTGCATTACTTCGGGCATTCTTCCCACATCAAGCTGACACGCCGTGATATACATGTAACTGGAATATTGTTCAACGCGGCGTCAAACCCAACTCACTCACTATACTAGATACCTTAAATGTTTTTCTTCCATGGGTGCATACAGCATAGTAACTTTAACGCTAGGTCAATATTACAACCTGAATTCAATGAACCTAGTTATGAATGTTTAATGTCCAAGTTTACCTTTCATACAGACCCGTGAAGATCCGGGGTAGAATAGGTTTTCAGCAACCCATGCTTCCCGTAAGGGGATCGGGTGGTCAGGCTCACTGACTTGGTTGATGCATGTCATCGATCCCAAATGCGTGGATCGATGCTCATGATGTCAATCACTGGGTTGTCTGCTCCAGACTCGATTATTTACAGACCGCCGTCATATAGCTGGAATATTGCTGAGTGCGGCGTCAAACAAACCAAACAACCAATCTGATACACAAGCATTTTTATAAATAACTATTCAAGAACAATCACATCATTTTTGGAAGTGATATGCATAATACTGGTGAAAATGTCATTGTATCTTTTTGACAAAATTGGTACGCGAAGTAAGTAGTTGGTTGGTTGGTTGGTTGTTTAACGCCGCACTCAGTAATATTCCAGCTATATGACGGCGGTCTGTAAATAATCGAGCCTGTACCACACAATCCAGTGATCCACACAATTGGGATACGATGACAAGCATCAACCAAGTCAGGGAGCCTGACCATCCGATCCCGTTAGTCGCCTCTTACGACAAGCATAGTCGCCTTTAACGGCAGCTATGCGTTGCTGAAGCTCTATTCTACCCCGGATCTTCACGGGTCGAATGAGTGTACCAGTGTTTAACATTTTTGCAATACACAACAATTTAATTAACTTAACGCAAAGATCCAACCCGTGAGCCTCATCATACACCACCTACGGAAATTAGTTTTTTTCAATTAGTCGAATTGTTTCACAATTCTATGATTTGAACAAACATGATGTCATCATCAACTGGACAAATCGCCTTCCCCAGTCTGTCACTTTTAAAGAAGACGTTTGTGGAGCGAAAAAAAGTATTTGGAGTCAATTTAAGAGCATTATAATACATTTTGAGGAGAATCGTTTCAATTTTGCAATTTGTTGAATGTTCAACGCCGCTATAATCTTTAATCAGCCAAGGACCCTCCCTATCAAGTAAGTCGTCTCCTGTGAGGGACATTTGTTTCTTTGCAAGGACGGATTAATATCAATATTGTTCATACATTTTTTCATGATAATCTGTATCTGCCCTAAACAACATGTGCTAGCTTTCTAAGAAACGGTGCAAATACTCTCATTGACTTACAACAGACTGAAAATACATTCTGCATAGTGTAAAGATGTGTTTGATTATATGTTACAATATTAACCTTTTTTTGTCAGGGGTGTTTCTTTATAAGCCAATTAATGCAAATGTTAGTCTTGTCGTGTTTATTTTATCTTCTGGATTATCCACCGAAACAAGTTCAATTTGGTGTACGAGGCAAGATAATATAGTGATGAAACTTATGGGCATTGATCAATGAAAACCAGTGATCACACCAGCTGTTCCCAGACAGCAAACCCTGTACATTTGCTTCTTGTATGAAAGGTTTGTTTGTTGTTTAACGCTGCACTCAGCAATATTCCAGCTAAATGACGGCGGTCTGTAAAAAAATAATCCAGTGATTAATATCATGAGCATCGATCCACGCAATTGGGATAGATGACATGCATCAACCACGTCAGCGAGCCTGACCACCCGATCCCGTTTGTCGCCTGTTACGGCAAGCATGGGTTGCTGTAGACCTATTCAACCCCGGATCTTCACGGGCAGCTTGTGTATTAGAGAGATACTTGACACATGCTATAAATCTAAGTGACTGGCATTTTGTTTTTATGTTTTAGAGATGTCCACTGCCACTCTGCTGTCGATCTTTGCGTTTCTTGTAATTTGCTGGGTACAACAGACGGAAGCACAAGGTAAAGCACACCACACCACACGGAATAGTCCATTCCATGACATGGCACACTTCACAGAATCACCTTTGGTGAGGTTGCCTGTCCCATGACTGTAGACCCATGAAGATTCCGGGGTAGAATAGCAACCCATACTTGCCGTAAAAGGTGACTATGCTTGTCGTAAAAGGCGACTAACGGGATCGGGTGGTCAGGCTCGCTGACTTGGTTGATGCATGTCATCGATCCCAATTGCATGGATCGATGCTCATGATATTAATCACTTGATTGTTTGGTCCAGACTCGATTATTTACATACCGCCGTCATATAGCTGGAATATTGCTGAGTGCGGCGTCAAACAACCAACCAACCAACCAACCAACTACTTACTTCGCGTACTAATTTTGTCAATAAGATGCAATGAAATTTTCAACAGTATTATGCATATCACTTCCAAAAAAAGACGTGATTGTTGTCCTTTCATATGGATAAAGAATTACTCTCTCTGGAAAAGCTCATGTTTCTATGCAATAGATTTAGAACCATCTCATGGCCAAAATAGCAGGGGGCGCTGAACGTTTTTTCCAGGTGTATATACCCCATTCAAAGTTAGTGAGCACATTGCCTCAAACTCCCGTACAAGCGCACAATCACACTGAGAAGCAGTTTGTTACTTATCTAAAATTTGTTTTGATGTTTGTATTAGTGAATCGCCTCCGTGGTCTAGTGGTAGAGCTTCCGCTCTTCGGGTTTCGATTTCCGGCCCCGTCAGACCAAAGGACGTTATAAGAGGATACTCGTTGTTACGCTGCCTGGCGTTCGGCATTAAGGGGCTAAAACAAGGAGCGGTTGGCCTGGAGTCAGTATACTGTGTCTGAGCGGGGTATTCGTGTTAAAATGCGGCATTGTATCTCAGTTGGCCAGCACTATGAACTCGGCATTAGTCCGGATTACTACAAGCACACACACACACACACACACACACACACACACACACACACACACATGCATGCACGTCGCTATATATGGCAAATAATCTTGGACGCGACGTTAAACCTTATTTCACCTCTCCTTGTGTTAAAATGTTAAAATAATAAAAATCGCCTATTTTTTCAAGTTTTGTTTATTGCCGAAGCATGTACCTTGATAATTAATATTCACTTTGTAGATATAGCATAATAGATTGTAAAGATAAGAACAAAAGGGCATATTTCCCTCTTTTCACCAATTTGACATCAATAGTCTCAACTCTGTAATTATACTCTTCGAAACAAGTAGGGAATCAAATTGGGAATTTTAGAAAATTACATATGAATTCATAGATACAAAAACGTTAGTGATGGTAAGAGATGGATGAGAAAAGGCAAGACTAGGTGCAACAGGAAAATCAACTGAATATGTTGGCGTTGTATTGTGAAGGTACAGACCACCAAGAAAGACGACAAGGATGTGTACTAAAAACAGGAACGTTTGAGATAAGTTCATGTTACGATTGGTCAAACATTCGAGTATATGGCGTGGCATGGTTCGAATCAATCTTCCAAGTCGTGTCCACGCCTCTGGCAGCTCCTTGCCAGGTTCGTCTGACGTTGGTGGCCTTTGACGTCAGCGAACACGTCTCTGTTGTAGACGCGTTTTCTGGGGAAAAACTAGCCATTGCATCCTAGTGACGTTTTGCTTCTGTGGTAGTCAGTTACGATACGTGAACTGTTGGCACGAGCGTTATTGTCTTGCCACATAACACATGGACAAGCGTGGCGTGCAAACGACAACTCTGCTGGTGCCAGTATATTGCCTGTAATACTTCTGTCAAGTAGTGGCGTTCTGTCAGTCACAATGATCCCGCCCCATTTCATTAAAGATCCATCCCCAACTCTGTCATGTTGCCTTACGTTGACCTTGGCATGACGTTCGTCAGGACGCCTCCAGAAAGTCCAGAGTGAACTTTTACACGAGACAATCGGCGACTCTTCAAGTTTCTACGCCACTGGCGTCTGGTTAGGATGTGTCGCTTTGCTAACGGTTAACACGTGGTAGCCGAGCAGTAACTTGGACCCTGGTGGCATGGGGCAAGTGAAGAGCGATATCATGGTCTGTTTGGGCTTGATTTCGTAATAGATGGTTTCTTATTAGTCGATCCTGGACTCGAGTTGTTCATCATGGCCGCTCTTTGTGAATAGTCCTTAGGCGTTCATCATGTTGTAGAGGATTCCAAATCTGATCACAAATATTGCATAAAAGCACGAACAGAGAGCTTACCTGTTATGATAATAAGAATCAACAGATCAGTGTCTCGTGCATGGTCCACGTGCAACGTTTCGGGTGTGTTGGGGCGTTATGTTTTTGTCCCAAAACTCTTGTATCTCTGGCGGTCATTTTTCAAAGCTGATCTTTCTTCTGACAACGGGTCATTTATTTTTCATGGTCCACGTTTTTCATTTGAAGAGTATAATGATAAGAAATAATTGTCTAGCCTCTGTCTATTTTGCCATATTGATCATAACTCATTGCTATCATGACTCATTGGCATATGGTGGCGCCTAGCAACGATCCACGCCTTCGGGGTATGATAAGCCGATCCATTTGGTCGCCTCTTACGACAAGAGGTCCCTGTGTGTAATTCGTTGAATCCCATAATCAAACGCGAAGGTGAACCCAGAAATTGTTACGGACAGAACTAAATTGTGAAATGTGTATGTAACCTTACAACACCAATTTACATTCAACAAATACTATTGAAATACACATTATTAGGTTTACATTCATTATAGGCTATACAATGTGTCAAATATGTGGTATCAAAAATATATAATAGGCCCCATTATACATATCAGCGCTCTCGCGAATTTAACAGTTGAGTGTCTAGAAAGAGGCACTTGCTTCGTTCTTGAACGCAGGAAACAGTGTTCGAAGCAGACAGAAAAGTCCGACAGATATATTCAGTCCGCAACGGTAGATAAGACGCAAGGCGGGTCAAAGAAAAGAGGCCTCTAATCGCTCTCTTCTCGAATATGTATTGCTACAGCTAACATTCAAGGGACTTTACAAACACCAAAAACGTGGTAATCATATCCGGAAGTGACAGCAACTAATAACAATAATTTTTACCACAACCTATACTTACATACATCTCGTATTTTACATTTGTTAATTTAGCATATAAAACTTTATTTATTCAGATGTTTAGTATTTTCACTATTGTCCGCTGCATAAATGTTTATGGAAAAGGCGTTATCAGTTGGACAACTTTGTCCTAATTCATAACTAATAATAAGGTAAATAAATTAAGACCAAAGACAAAACTGATGAGTTCATACAGTGGAACTCTATGACAAGAGATAGACGAATGCATAAAGCGTTGGACGGTATGTGGACTATAAAGAACCACAAGGCTAAGGTGACTTCCAATCAATCAATATTGTACGAGCGACTCAATCAAATTGCTGCCACTTACAATCAACAAAACCGGAAGCAATCAAAAATGTGTTACAGTGAGTGAGTTGGGTTTAACGCCGCCTTTAACGGTATTCCAGTTGTATCAGCTTAATGCGGGAGGAAAGCCACAAGTGATGCAGGTCTCAGACGTTTATCACTTCGGTGAAACCCACGAGCACGGGTATGGTGCTGACAAACCTAGAATCTAGAATCATAATCGGGGGGAACCGGGATTCGAACCCACAACCATAGGTTTCTAGCGTTCCCAAGGGACGCAACTTTATACAGCGAATCGCCGCGCCTTAGATGACTGGACAACGCGTGCTACCTCCCCCCAAAAAACAACAACAACAAAACAAACAAACAAACAAATAAATAAATAAAAAACAAAAACAAAAAAACAACAAAATAATAATTAAAAAAATAAAAAATAAAATAAATAAATATAATATTATAAACGTGATACCAAATCAAATTGTATCTGTTTTAAGAGGTCAATCGAATAAAGTAAGTAGTTTTCCAAAAACGTAAATAACATAATCCAAACTGGAAGTACTAATAACATTATTACAAAATGCGCTAGTACCTCTGATTTAAGGTTTGAATGTGTTTTCTCAAAATGGAAATCAGATAATACAAACCGGAAGAACTGATTACATTGTAGTGATGGTCAAAAACTCAAATACAGTAAGAACTGATTTCTCCAAACAGGAAGTGATGTGATCCAAACTGGAAGCTCTTATAACTTTCTAAGAACATGAGCTGGAACAATTAGTGAAAATGGTTATAAGTTCCAATAAAGTAAATAAGTGTTTTCCGAAACCGAAAGTGCTTATAGCCAAAGCCATAAAGAATTATGATTCGGTGATTTTCTGCATAGCCAAGAGTGAGATCATGCCAATTGAACATACGTTTCTATCAAACTGGATTAGTCGCCTTTTACGGCAAGCATGGGACACTGTTTGTAGATATATTAACAAAAAGATGAATGTCAGAGAAAGAAAACTAATTTTTTTACGTATTTTTTTCAGCTGGTCAAGTATGCATCGTTCGGGCGGAAAACAACGTTAATGAGGACATGGGTCCAATTGTTTTCGAATTAATTCGAAAAGGAGGTTCAACTGGAACCGTCACTGTCACTTACACCATATTTAACATATCATCACAAGCTGAAGATATACTTGGGCCAAGGACCGGATCAATCACGTTTTCTGATGGCCAGACAGAGGCGAATATTTCAGTTGCAATCAATGACGACATTGTGAGGACTTGAGACTTATATTCTTAATCAATGAAAGCGACAAAACCCTTCCAACGGCATAAATCTCTGCTAAAAGCACAGTCCGTTGTACGATTACGACACCAGGGGACACACTCACATGCATGAGCAAGTCAAGAGTTAACGTGAAAAAAAACCCCGGGAACATATGGCACAAGTCCAAATTTGGAATTGCATCGAACATAGCTGTTGAAACCATCTGACCAATGAAACTGAAATTTCGTATGCTTGTTTCATAGGTCTTCAGCAACCCATGCTTGTCGTAAGAGGCGACTAACGGGATCGGGTGCTCAGGCTCGCTGATTTGGTTGATGCATGTCATCGATCCCAATTGCGTGGATTGATGTTCATGATGTCAATCACTGGATTGTCTGGTCCAGACTCGATTATTTACAGACCGCCGTCATATAGCTGTAATATTGCTGAGTGCGGCGTTAAACAACAAACAAAACACATTAGATATCGGTGTTAGTTTTTAGTTCTCAGAATATATACACAGAATAAATGCAGAGACTATTTAGATATATTTACAGGCCGCCGTCTTATAACGAGCAAAACATCTCACTTGCGAGCCTGTCGGATCATATAGTAGTTCGTCTTTCTTCTCTATTTGCAGTTGGGTGAAGATAGCGAACAGTTCTTAGTTATTCTGACTGGTGACGTAGGTCCCGAAACGTTTGCGGTTGGCATCATCTTTGATAATGACATTTGTAAGTTTCTTTGTTTTTTTGTTGTTTAACGCCGCACTCAGCAGTGACTCGTCGTGAAGCAGTGACAAATATAGCTATTCTTCTTCTGGCAAAAGACCCTCTGTTAAAAAAAATCGAGACGTATATTGAATAAACGCCGCAGTAGTAATACTCCCGATATTTGCTCGGAAACAGTAGGATGGTGAGAAAATTGGTTGTTGAAATAATGATGCGTTGGGATACAACTACACACCATGAGCATCGATCCACGTAATTGGGATCGATGACATGCATCAACCAAGTCAGCAAACCTGACCACCCGATCTTGTTATGTCGCCTCTTACCAAAGGCAACTATGCTTGTCGTAAGAGGCGACTAACGGGATCGGGTGGTCAGGCTCGCTGACTTGGTTGATGCAGGTCATCGATCCTAATTGCGTGGATCGATGCTCATGGTGTCAATCACTGGACTGTCTGGTCCAGACTCGATTATTTACTGATTGCCGTCATATAGCTGGAATATTGCTGAGTGCGGCGTTAAATCCCAAAAAAGACACAAAAAAACCAAGAAAAACAAACAAACAAACAAACACACATACACACACACACACACTAACGAAGGGTGCAATGAAGGTGATATATTGCTGGCTACTTCCTTTCTCTTTGTTGCTACTCAGATTCCCCTTGGGGAGAATGGTCCAATGGTGAATGCGGCGTTACGTGTGGTTCAGCGATGAAGACAGAAACGAGAACAAGGACTTGTGTGGCATTCATTCCAGCCCGATGTGTACTACTCAGTGAGAACCGAACTGTGGATTGTAATCTACCAGACTGTCCCAGTAAGTTTCATAACAACCATTATTCCCTTGAAGATTCCGGATTAGAAATGGTCTTCAGCAACACCAAACTTGTCGTAAGAGGCGACTAACGGGATCGGGTGGTCAGGCTCGCTGACTTGGTTGATGCATGTCATCGACTATAATCGATACTCATGATGTCAAATACTGGATTGTCTGGTCCAGACTCGATTATTTACAGACTACCCTCATCTAGCTGGAATATTGCTGAGTGCGGCGTTAAACAACAAACCAAACCAAACCTAATCCAATCATGTGTGGAGACCCCTCGTTAATTTCTAATTTCAAATACTACCTCCTCCAAAATGATCTGTTCCACAGTTATCAGCATGTGGTCCGAATGGGCTGATAATGGAACTTGTTCAACGACCTGTGGGCCTGGATCACAGATGCAGACGAGGAACCGGAACTGTTCCGGTATTTGCCCGACTGACTTCACATCAGTTGAGACGAGAACTGTCTCGTGTGAAATTTGTACGTGTCCAGGTAAGTGGAAAAAAACAACTTTTTTACTAAATGATCAGAGGGAAATATGTATAATGTATAATGCAACTGAATCAGAATGTCTCAAAATGTCGATTAATATGACTAATGTATAAAGTGGAAATAACATCTCATTTAGTTGTTTTTTCAGGTTTGCTTTAAAAATACGATGTTCTGATGGAACCATGATCTGGAATATTAAATGCAAAATTTGAATACAGATTTCCTCCAAGTTATTGCTAGAACTTGTGTTATCAACTGAGCATATAAAACTATTCTAAGTGCATGACCTATCTATAGCTTTCTATTTTCATACACTACATCGATGTGTGATTTCATTACGACCTTCATCTCCTTTGCAGTTATCAGCATGTGGTCCGAATGGACTGATACTGGCGCTTGCTCAACGACCTGTGGGCCTGGGACAAATACGCAGATGAGGACCCGGACTTGTACCGGTTCCACCTGTTGCCCGGCTGACTTGACATTAGTTGAGACGAGAACTGTCACGTGTGAGATTTGTACGTGTCCAGGTAAGTGGAAAAGACAACTTTTTTACTAAATGATCAGAGGGAAACATGTATAATGTATAATGCAACTGAATCAGAATGTCTCAAAATGTCAATTAATATGACTAATGTATAAAGTGGAAATAACATCTCATTTAGTTGTTTTTTCAGGTTTGCTTTAAAAATACGATGTTCTGATGGAACCATGATCTGGAATATTAAATGCAAAATTTGAATACAGATTTCCTCCAAGTTATTGCTAGAACTTGTGTTATCAACTGAGCATATAAAACTATTCCAAGTGCATGACCTATCTATAGCTTTCTATTTTCATACACTACATCGATGTGTGATTTCATTACGACCTTCATCTCCTTTGCAGTTATCAGCATGTGGTCCGAATGGACTGATAATGGCGCTTGCTCAACGACCTGTGGGCCTGGGACAAATACGCAGATGAGGACCCGGACTTGTACCGGTTCCACCTGTTGCCCGGCTGACTTGACATTAGTTGAGACGAGAACTGTCACGTGTGAGATTTGTGCGTGTCCAGGTAAGTGGAAAAGACAACTTTTTTACTAAATGATCAGAGGGAAACATGAATAATGTATAATGCAACTGAATCAGAATGTCTCAAAATGTCGTTAATATGACTAATGTATAAAGTGGAAATAACATCTCATTTAGTTGCTTTTTCAGTTTTGCTTTAAAAATACGATGTTATGATGGAACCATGATCTAGAATATGAATTGCAAAATTGGAATACAGATTTCTTCCAAGTTATTGCTAGAACTTGTGTTATCAACTGAGCATATAAAACTATTCTAAGTGCATGACCTATCTATAGCTTTCTATTTTCATACACTACATCGATGTGTGATTTCATTACGACCTTCATCTCCTTTGCAGTTATCAGCATGTGGTCCGAATGGGCTGATACTGGCGCTTGCTCAACGACCTGTGGGCCTGGGACAAATACGCAGACGAGGACCCGGACTTGTACCGGTTCCACCTGTTGCCCGGCTGACTTGACATTAGTTGAGACGAGAACTGTCACGTGTGAGATTTGTACGTGTCCAGGTAAGTGGAAAAAACAACTTTTGTACTAAATGATCAGAGGGAAACATGAATAATGTATAATGCAACTGAATCAGAATGTCTCAAAATGTCGTTAATATGACTAATGTATAAAGTGGAAATAACATCTCATTTAGTTGCTTTTTCAGTTTTGCTTTAAAAATACGATGTTATGATGGAACCATGATCTAGAATATGAATTGCAAAATTGGAATACAGATTTCTTCCAAGTTATTGCTAGAACTTGTGTTATCAACTGAGCATATAAAACTATTCTAAGTGCATGACCTATCTATAGCTTTCTATTTTCATACACTACATCGATGTGTGATTTCATTACGACCTTCATCTCCTTTGCAGTTATCAGCATGTGGTCCGAATGGGCTGATACTGGCGCTTGCTCAACGACCTGTGGGCCTGGGACAAATACGCAGACGAGGACCCGGACTTGTACCGGTTCCACCTGTTGCCCGGCTGACTTGACATTAGTTGAGACGAGAACTGTCACGTGTGAGATTTGTACGTGTCCAGGTAAGTGGAAAAAACAACTTTTGTACTAAATGATCAGAGGGAAACATGTATAATGTATAATGCAACTGAATCAGAATGTCTCAAAATGTCGATTAATATGACCAATGTATAAAGTGGAAATAACATCTCATTTAGTTGCTTTTTCAGTTTTGCTTTAAAAATACGATGTTCAGATGGAACCATGATCTAGAATATGAATTGCAAAATTGGAATACAGATTTCCTCCAAGTTATTGCTAAAACTTGTGTTATCAACTGAGCATATAAAACTATTCTAAGTGCATGACCTATCTATAGCTTTCTATTTTCATACACTACATCGATGTATGATTTCATTACGACCTTCATCTCCTTTGCAGTTATCAGCATGTGGTCCGAATGGGCTGATAATGGAGCTTGCTCAACGACCTGTGGGCCTGGGACAAATACGCAGATGAGGAACCGGGCTTGTACCGGTTCCACCTGTTGCCCGGCTGACTTGACATTAGTTGAGACGAGAACTGTCACGTGTGAGATTTGTACGTGTCCAGGTAAGTGGAAAAGACAACTTTTTTACTAAATGATCAGAGGGAAACATGTATAATGTATAATGCAACTGAATCAGAATGTCTCAAAATGTCGTTAATATGACTAATGTATAAAGTGGAAATAACATCTCATTTAGTTGCTTTTTCAGTTTTGCTTTAAAAATACGATGTTATGATGGAACCATGATCTAGAATATGAATTGCAAAATTGGAATACAGATTTCTTCCAAGTTATTCCTAGAACTTGTGTTATCAACTGAGCATATAAAACTATTCTAAGTGCATGACCTATCTATAGCTTTCTATTTTCATACACTACATCGATGTGTGATTTCATTACGACCTTCATCTCCTTTGCAGTTATCAGCATGTGGTCCGAATGGGCTGATAATGGAGCTTGCTCAACGACCTGTGGGCCTGGGACAAATACGCAGATGAGGAACCGGGCTTGTACCGGTTCCACCTGTTGCCCGGCTGACTTGACATTAGTTGAGACGAGAACTGTCACGTGTGAGATTTGTACGTGTCCAGGTAAGTGAAAAAAGACAACTTTTTTACTAAAGGATCAGAGGGAAACATGTATAATGTATAATGCAACTGAATCAGAATGTCTCAAAATGTCGATTAATATGACTAATGTATAAAGTGGAAATAACATCTCATTTAGTTGCTTTTTCAGTTTTGCTTTAAAATACGATGTTCTGATGGAACCATGATCTAGAATATGAATTGCAAAATTGGAATACAGATTTCCACCAAGTTATTGCTAGAACTTGTGTTATCAACTGAGCATATAAAACTATTCTAAGTGCATGACCTATCTATAGCTTTCTATTTTCATACACTACATCGATGTATGATTGATAACGACCTTGATCTCCTTTGCAGTTATCAGCATGTGGTCCGAATGGGCTGATAATGGAGCTTGCTCAACGACCTGTGGGCCTGGGACAAATACGCAGATGAGGAACCGGGCTTGTACCGGTTCCACCTGTTGCCCGGCTGACTTGACATTAGTTGAGACGAGAACTGTCATGTGTGAGATTTGTACGTGTCCAGGTAAGTGGAAAAGACAACTTTTTTACTAAATGATCAGAGGGAAACATGTATAATGTATAATGCAACTGAATCAGAATGTCTCAAAATGTCAATTAATATGACTAATGTATAAAGTGGAAATAACATCTCATTTAGTTGCTTTTTCAGTTTTGCTTTAAAAATACGATGTTATGATGGAACCATGATCTAGAATATGAATTGCAAAATTGGAATACAGATTTCCTCCAAGTTATTTCTAGAACTTGTGTTATCAACTGAGCATATAAAACTATTCTAAGTGCATGACCTATCTATAGCTTTCTATTTTCATACACTACATCGATGTATGATTGATAACGACCTTGATCTCCTTTGCAGTTATCAGCATGTGGTCCGAATGGGCTGATAATGGAGCTTGCTCAACGACCTGTGGGCCTGGGACAAATACGCAGATGAGGACCCGGACTTGTACCGGTTCCACCTGTTGCCCGGCTGACTTGACATTAGTTGAGACGAGAACAATCAATTGTCAGATTTGTACATGTCCAGGTAAGTATAAAAAAAACTTTTGTACTGAGTAATAATAGCGAAACATGTATACTGTACAATGCAGCTAAAGCACAGTCTCAACATGTCGATTTAGATGTCCAGGTAAGTAGAAAAACACATTTGTGCCAATTAATAAGGGAAAATCATGTGTAGTTCAACTTAAAGACATTGTCTCAACATGTGGATTATTAACTAATAAGCAACGAGGAGAGATCTGCCTGAGATGTCCTCCATTTGCTACTGATTTGCAGAGAGCTACCAGAAACAACTGCATGCGCAGAGTATAGAAATGTAGCTCATCTGAGCATTATGTTAACATGTCGGCCGGAAACATTGTATAAGGCTCTCCGTGTTGTTTCCACCTACAACTTAAAGTCACAAACCAATGGGAAATACTTTTAAAAAATCTCAAGAAAATTTGAAGGGTAGTCTGGCACCATAACCTGAATGGAATTCATGAAGGTGATGTCCTCAGCCATAACGGAAAGAAAATGTCTGTAATCCATCGTCAGAAGTTAAGATTCGAACTTTGCAATCGACCAGTACTTGCTGCATGAAAGCTCCAAACAGACTTTTCATTTTCAATTAATTTTTATTTCATATTCAGTGATCGGCCCCTGGTGCCCGTGGGGTAATACTGGTCTGTGTTCAGTGACGTGTGGAAGTGGGACACAGATGCAGGCTCGCAGTCGAATCTGTGTTAATACTTGCACGCCCCCTGACTGTATTACACGTGAGGAGAGAACGGGCACTTGCTATAGTGCGTGTCGTAAGTATTAGAAAAACCTTTGAGCGATATTTTTTTTAGTCACTGGTTCCATTTCTTACTACATTGTTTCGTTTAGTTAGCAATTTTCGATCTATATGACGGCGGTCTGTGAATAATCGAGTCTGAACCAGACAATCCATTGAGTGACATCATTTACATCGATCCACATAATTGTGATACGATGACAAGCTTCAACCAAGTCAGCGAGCCTGACCACCCGATCCCGTTAGTCGCCTCTTACGACAAGCATAGTAGCTTTTTACAGCAAGCATGGGTTGGTGAAGACATATTCTACTTGAAAGGAGCCAAAATATATTTTGTTCTCAGGAGAATGCCAAATTAATTAGTATTGTAAAGCAAAAGGACAAATCATATTACGTCACGGTCACACACTACCCCGGTCCTTGCGTATATGGTTAAGTGTCATCTAAAGCCGTCTTAACACTCTGAAGTCATTCTGCAAGATAAAGAAGTTAACAGTGAACAGCCATGTGTCGCTTACTTGAAATCTCACTTGCTACGACAGTATGTAACTGTCTATAAATAAACCTACTGTCAACAGTTTGTACATGGATAAAGTGAAAAATTGCCACTTTCATTGGAATAATTTCAAAACAACCGAAGTCAGTCACAATAAGTCTTTCTGATCTGATATCCTACGAATGTTAACAGGAGCATTGTGTTCATATAAAGAAAAGCATGTTTCTGTACTAATGCATTTAGTATCCCCCCCTCGTATCCCCTGTGAAGTTTCGGGTTAGATTGGGTCTTCAGCAACCTATTCGTCCTGAAAGAGGTGACTTTGCTTGTGGTAAGAGGCGACTAACAAGATCGGGTGGTCAGGCTCGCTGATTGGTTGATGCATGTCCTCGTATCACAATTATGTGGATCGATGAGAATGATGTCACTCAATGGATTGTCTGGTTCAGACTCGATTATTCACAGACCGCCGTCATATAGATGGAAAATTGCAGAGTGCGGCGTTAAACAAAAATGGTTAGGTTGGGTCTTCAGCAACCCATTCTTCCTGTAAGAGGTGACTTTGCTTGTGGTAAGAGGCGACTAACAAGATCGGGTGGTCAAGTTCGTTGAGTTGGTTGATGCATGTCATCGTATCCCAATTGCGTGGATCGATGCACATGACACCAGTCACTGGATTATTTACATACCGCCGTCATATAGCTGGAATATTGCTGAATACGGCGTTAAACAAAAACAACAACAAACAAACAAATCATTTAGAATGAAATCCTCTGGGAGCCCGGATACAAATATAGGTCCCCAACAATATGTGCTTTTTGTGAATTACATTCATTGCGTAGGCAGGATCGGTGACTTGGTTGACTTCAAATCAATGTATCGCATCACAACTAATTGGATCGGTGCAAATCACCAGATTGTCTGAGCCCAACTGGATTACTATGGCCTGCAGCCATATACCTGGAATATTGCAGGGTGCGGCGTTAAACAACATACCCTTTACTATTTCAGCTGTTGCGTGGACGGCATGGAACAGATGGTCAGGAGGGTCGAAGTGGAACAGATGGTCAGGAGGGTCGAGATGGAACAGATGGTCAGGAGCGTCGACACGGAACAGATGGTCAGGAGGGTCGGCATGGAACAGAGGGTCAGGGTGGACTGGACGGAGATACGGGTTTGGGGGTCGTTACCGTTTCGGTAAGTAGAAAAATATGATATCTTCCTCTTGAGCTTTTCAATAAGTGTAATCGCGGTCCGTTCTTCTGTGCCACCCCCTGCATATATACAATGTGCCTGCATGTATATCTGTCGATGACGAGGGTCAAACTGATGGTCGTGATGAGAACTGTGTGATCAAGACATATTTCTTATACATTTCGACCCGTCAAGATTTCAGGTAAAATATCGGTAAACATGCAAACTATGCTTGTTAAAAAAGACCAAATGGCTCGGCTAGTCAGGCTAGGTGATTTGGTTAATTACAAGTCGCATTTCAATTACGTGGATCACTGTACTATTTAACTATTGCTAAATGCGGCGTTAATCATCAAACATACATATCTATGTTTGAGCCTCAAGTAGCAGCCGCGTCAAACAAGATTTTTGAAGATTTTGTTGGAATTAGACTTGGAGTGTTGGAGAGATATCTCGATGATATGACGTCAGTCAGACAACAATGCTTGTCGTAAGAGGCGACTAACGAGATCGGGTGGTCAGGCTCACAGACTTGGTTGATGCATCTCAGTTGCGTGGATCGATGGTCATTATATCACTCACTGGATTGTCTGGTCCAGACTCGATTATTTACAGACCGTCGTCATACAGCTGGAATATTGCTGAGTGCAGCGTTAAACAACAAACACACAAATATATCTTTAAGGTGAGAACCTGCTTTGGAAAGGTTTTGGTAAAAATGAGTCAAAGATCAAAACCTGCGTGCAGGCTTTGGGAAAAGCAATTTATCATTGTCATGTTTTTGGCATAGTCTTCTCAACAGGCCTGAGACTATATTTGTGAAACATGGGTGCACTATTTATTGTCAGTTTCTGTTGCACTTTAAATTGAAAGTCCTGTGACTGAGCATACTTGTTGGATCTTGTGAATTGTCTTGACTTAGCTCAAGCTCTGGACTTCATATCTACGGACTGGATGTACATGCAGTGATAATATTTTTGCAGCTTTGACGAAATGGCGATGAAAGAGCTTGTAACATCTCCAATTTATAACCTTAAAAGGTTGCCTCTCATCGTGTCTGATTGTGAAAAACAACATACACCATGACAAAAAAACAACACAGAATGATGCCAGAATTTGTATGTGTTATTTCGTAGTTATGTATACAATACATTACCTCTTATCTGTTTGCAGGTCGCTAGACGCAACCATACCGAAGCAACTATTCTGACACACATTTAAAACTCGCTCAAACAATCCAAATAAAATGTGCTCATTAAATTACAAAGTGTCAAGTTATTAATATTCTCTAACACCAATCGAATGAGGTGGGGGGTGGGGGGGTTGTTGTTATGACATTGGAAAAAAACTGCATCGAATTAGATGTTGTCGTGATGTTGTCTTGGACAAAACGCTTAACTGTCTCTGCTCATCTGTAAAACGGGTACCAGTGCGAACTCGAATGTCTGGCTACCTTAAATATACACAACACAACACAAGAATATTCGTCTTAAAGCAGAATCCTTTGTCCGATAACATGAGAATGTGTTTTTGAATCACTATCACTGTCGGGTGTTCGTGAAGAATGAGCGTATCCTGCCCAATCGGTGGAACCTTTCACATACACATGCAAAGGCGTGTCTATTGTTCACCTGAAAAATGACGGAAACTTGGTGCTGTGTCTTCTTAAGTTTTCTATTCAATATTCAATGTCAGGGCGGTATGGTATCCTTGTGGTGAAGGTATTCGTTCGCCGAAAGCACATATAAGGACCACCTGATCAATTTATTCGCTTCTTACGAGGAATCCTCAAAGGGGTCAAATTAAAGATGCAACTTGTACGCACATCTTTTCGATCTGTAAACCCCAAATGATGTTTGTATGACGTTTTTCATTGTTGAACACGGCCATGTGGCAGCTACATGAAAAAATAAACTGACGTCCAAAAGAAACTTTACCAATTGAAAATATAAATTTCAGACAAAGTATAAATTCTTTTTCGATGAAGTCTATCTAAAACACATAACCTAAATACAACAATAGTGTATGCAGAAAATGTGAATCGTCTGATACATGTTTGCGAGATAACACGCGAAAAATACGTGCACCACGGACAACTGCAAATGCACGTGCGGGTAAGGGCATAAAACGATTGCAACGGCAAGTCAAACATCCACAGTGATAAAAAAACACAAAAGAAATGCCACGACTCACAGTCGAACAACGTGAACGAGCCTTGGGTATTGTACAGATGGGAGCCACCCACGCCCATATTGCACGAACCTTCGGTTGCTCCCATGTTGCTGTTACCAACTTGATGCAACGTTACAGAGACAGACAGGGCGGACCGCTGACAGGCCAAGAACAGGCAGACCCAGGGTGATCACGCCCCTTGATGACCGGTACTTGCGTACCTTGCACCTCCGAAATCGCTTCCTGACAGTGACGTCATCGGCGACAAATGCCTTAGGTCACAGGGTTAGTCGACAGACAGTGGCCAGGAGACTCAGGGCTCATGGAATCAGGGCTTTTAGACCATACAGAGGACAGCTATTGAAAGCGCAACATCGTCGTCTGCGACTGAGATGGGCCCGGGCTGAACGACGTTGGCAACGACGTGACTGGCAGAGGGTTGTCTTCACTGTCGATTCTGTATGTTTAGGGCTGATGGATGACAACGTGTTTACCGCCGAAGGGGTGAACGAACGGCGGCGTGTTGCGTGCAGGAGGTCGTACCATATGGTGGAGGGAGCGTCATGGTGTGGGGAGGGATCTGAGGGCAGGAGAGGACACCGCTGGTCATCGTTGACGGAAACTTGACAGCTCAGCGTTACATGGATAACATTCTTCGTCCAGTTGTCCTACGGTTTCTCCAACAGCAGCCACGTGGTGTCATTGATCAGAATAACAACGTCAACGTCCTGTCGTGGCCTGCACGCTCATTCGACATGTCCCCCATAGAACACCTCTGGGACTTGATGGATCGTCGTGTTCGACAACGACCACACTCTCCAGCCAACCGGCACGAACTGATCTTTGCCCTCCAAGAAGAATGGCGTCAAATCCCACGTGACCTCATCAGACGACTGACTTTTTCTGTGCGTCGAAGAGTTTTTGCGTGTATTGATGCATTTGGTGGTCAAACACGCTACTTATGACTTGTTATTGAACGTGAGCGATTGTTTATGGCCTATTGTCCATGATTCTGAAAGCTCGAGTTTTGTACCACACCCATCTTTGGGGGTCTCTGACGTCATTCTCGGTAGCGGTATGACTGTCATTTTCAGTGTTGATTATGTTGATATATTGATCTTCTCAATACACTTTACTTCATGCATGTATATTGTGTTGTTTTTGAGCAAGAGTTATTTCAAACTCTGGTAAAGTTTCTTTTGGACGTCAGTTTACAAAGAGTCCCATTGATCATTGGATCATTGAATAATCACATCATGTCCATCGTCACACGCCATCTTGGTACCTAAATGCGCAATGAAAGTCAACAAACATGTCTATCGGATGTATTTAGCCACCTTGTTCGACAAAGACAGGTTGCTGGGGATAAACTCCAATCCATAACCTCCACAGAGGTCCCTTTACAGGCCAAAACGGCGACCACGAGGTGAATTTGACCTGTCAATAAATGATGATCTTGCCATGGAACTGAACGATCCCCGTCTAAACTTCCGAGGGAACTAGGTATCTGACGGTTGTCGAGCGGCCTACGCAATATTGATGCACTTGCTGACCGCTTGGTATATGAGTAATTGAAATATTGCTGAATGTGGTAATGTGTTTGAAGCACTCCCTGAAACTACACGAGAATAAACTTAACTTAAAACACATATAAAAAAGGTCAACGCCAGAGAATTATCTGCCGAAAAATATCCCATTGGGCGTAAATGACCGCATATTAGAGAAAGTTATATGAATGGATTATAATTGAAAATCAAGTGAGGACACCATGTGTTCGTGAAAAGGGTAAGGATTTACTGCCCTGTTGTTAGCAACAGCCAATCTCATAGTTTGCTTGAAAAAGTTACTGTTTGTTGCCTGAGGCCTCACTACTCCTGCTACATGATCACAGCACTACTCCTGCCACATGATCACAGCACTACTCCTGCTACATGATCACAGCACTACTCCTGCCACATGATCACAGCACTACTCCTGCTACATGATCACAGCACTACTCCTGCTACATGATCACAGCACCACTCCTGCTACATGATCACAGCACTACTCCTGCCACATGATCACAACACTACTCCTGCCACATGATCACAGCACTACTCCTGCTACATGATCACAGCACTACTCCTGCCACATGATCACAGCACTACTCCTGCCACATGATCAAAGCACTACTCCTGCCACATGATCACAGCACTACTCCTGCTACATGATCACAGCACTACTCCTGCCACATGATCACAGCACTACTCCTGCCACATGATCACAGCACTACTCCTGCTGCCACATGATCATAGCACTACTCCTGCCACATTATCACAGCACTACTCCTGCCACATGATCACAGCACTACTCCTGCCACTTGATTACAGCACTTCTCCTGCCACATGATCACAGCACTACTGCCACATGATCACAGCACTACTCCTGCCACATGATCACAGCACTACTCCTGCCACATGATCACAGCACTACTCCTGCCAAATGATCACAGCACTACTCCTGCCACATGATCACAGCACTACTCCTGCCACATGATCACAGCACTACTCCTGCCACTTGATCACAGCACTACTCTTGCCACATGATGATCGCCCGTGAACAATCGAACCAGATGAGATGATCCTTTGTTTACAAAGATTTTGTCTATAAAAAGCGACAAAATAATTTTTTTGTAATTATAGGAAACCTCTGCAAAAAGCATTGTACGATTCCGACAATGTCATGTATTAATGAATCACTACAAATTAATGATGATACCAGATGTTAGCGCAAAGGTGATACACACCAACATAAGTTAAACTTAGTGTCAGTTGCTGTGAATTAAATTTCCTTGAGAAGAAGCTCACTGGATGAGTGAGTGAGTATGACTTTATGCCGCTTTTAGCAATGTTCCGGTAAAATCACGGCGGGGGACACCAGAAATGGGCTTCACACATTGTACCCATCTCGGGAATCGAACCAGGGTCTTCGGCGTGACGAGCGAACGCTTTAACCACTAGGCAACCCGACCGTCCCTAGTCTTCTCCGAGGTTACACTGCACGCTCCCTATACTAGGCCTGATATCTGGAAAGCTACACCCACTCTCAATGAACCGTGTCTATGCCCTTGCTGTAACAACTCAACCATGGATTTTCCTCATAATCAGCAGATATGACTCTTTCCTGCTGTACCCAAAACCCTAGTACAGGCTGCCAGAAGGTGGGATCATGGAAAACTTTCACGTCAATAAACCAGTTTAACTTTTATTACCCATTTGGATTAGTTACATTAATCGACACACCCTAACGAAGCTTAAACACATGACTATAATCAATACATTGCACTGTCTATCCGCTCTCACCGACCATGACCATACTCTGCCTTCAGAAGCGTTGAAAAGCGAAGCTGACTTGACAACTACCGTCGACTGAGTGAGCTGTGGTTTACGCCGCCTTGAAAAGTATTTCTGTTTATTATGGCCTGCTGTTGAACCGATGCTGGTCGTGGACTATTAAGGTTAGGTAGGGCAGCCTTGTATTCAGAGTGGTGACATGACTGCAATATGTGAAGAGCAGTTCGGGTGTACTGAAGGGATAATGTTTGGACATTACTGAAGCAGGATAATAAAATCGTATCTTATCGTATCTCATCTCAGGTAAAGGGTAAAGAGATCTGAAGTACCATTATGCTATCTAAATACTTCAGAATGACTTTAACTGATATTGACTTGAACCTTAATTTGCATATGCAAGAAAGATGTTTGACAGAGATTCCATACACAATCGCCCTTGTGCTGGGTTCAGATTGGAACTTAAATTTTATTCCTTCATATGTGCTTTACCAAAGAAAAAACTGAAACAAGTTTATCTTTCGTTTGCAAGAATCAAGATTACAGGATTTGGGTACTTTGTACTATTAGTAGCTTGATTTTCGGGATGATCAGTGAACCGTTGATGCAAAAATCAGAGTCGGATTTATATTCTTTTTACGAAAAGATAAAACAAGACAAGACTAATATTTGCATTCATTGGACGTTGACACAAAATGTTTGAATTTATTAAGTACATCTTAACACTAAATAAAATGTCTTTTTTTTGTAAGCTGTCACATA